AATTGATATAGGTTATACATGTTCTATCATGTAAAACATATTTCCATATTAGTCATAATTGTGAAAGAAGAAACAGATAAAAAAACACAAAAAGAATAAAGTAAATGAAAAAATAAGCTTCCATCCATATTCAGAACCCATCAGTTCTTTATCTGGATATGGATAGTATTTTCCTTCGTGAGTCTTTTGTACTTGTCTTGGATCATTGTGTTACTGAGAAGAGCTGAATGATAATCATAGTTGATTATCACACAATGTTTCCAGTACTGTGTATCATGTTTTCCTGGTTCTGCTCATTTAACTTTGCATCAGTTCATGTGGGTTTTTACAGGTTTTTTCTGAAATTTGCCTGTTCATCATTTCTTATGTCATAGTAGTATTCCATTACATTCATATACCACAGCTTGTTCAGCCATTCCCCAGTTGATGGTTATCCCCTTAATTTCTAATATTTTGCCCCTATGAAAAGAGCTGCTATAAATATTTTTGTGCATGTAGGTCCTTTTTTCATCTTTTATGATCTCTTTAGGATACAGACCTAGTAGTGGTATTGCTGGATCAAAGGGTATGCACAGTTTGGTTGCTCTTTGGGCATAGTTCCAAATTGCTCTCTAGAGTGGTTGAATCAGTTCACAACTCTACCAACAGTGCATTAGTGTCCCAATTTTCCTACAACCTCTCCAACATTTATCATTTTTCTTTTTTTTTTTGCCATATTATCCAATCTGTTATGTGTGAGGTGGTACCTCAGAGTTGTTTTAATTTGCATTTCTCTAATCAAAAATTATTTAGAGCACTTCTTCATATGCCTATAGATAGCTTTAATTTCTTCACTAAAAACTGCATGTTCATATCCTTTGACCATTTATCAATTGGGGATGGCTTGTATTCTAATAAATTCAGTTCTCTACATATTTGAGAAATGAAGCCTTCATCAGAGACACTTGTAAAGATTGTTGCCCAGCTTTCTTTCTAATTTTGGTTGCATTGGTTTTGTTTGTGCAAAACCTTTTTAATTTAATATAATCAAAATTATCTGTTTTATATTTTGTAATGCTCTCCATCTCTTGTTTCATTATGAACTTGTACTCACTTAACTTATTCTTTAAGAATTTGGATGCTATACCATTTGGTGCAGATATGTTTAGTATTGCCATTATTTCATTGTCCTTGTAGTTTCCTTCCTTATCTCTTTTGATTAGGTCTGATTTTGCCTTTGCTTTGTCTAAGATCAGGATTGCTACCTCTGCTTTTTTTATGTCAGCTGAAGCATAATAGATTATTCTCCATCCCCTTACCTTTCCTCGGTGTGTGTCTCTCTGCTTCAAGTGTGTTTCTTGTAAACAATATATTGTAGGATTCTGGGTTTTGATCCACTCTGCTATCTGCTTCTGTTTTATGGGAGAGGTCATCCCTTTCACATTCACAATTATGTGTATTTCCTTCCATCCTATTTTTCCTCCTGTTTGTCTTCTCTCTCCTTTCACCCTATCTCTCCTCATCAGTGTTTTGCTTCTGTCTGCCACCTCCCCCGATCTGTTTTCCCTTCTATCTATCTCCTCCAGCTTTATATATTCTCCTCCCCTCCTACTTCTGTGTCAGGTGAAACAGATTTCTATATTCAACTGATTCTGTATATTACTCCCTCTTCGAGCCAATACTGATGAGAGTAAGGTTCAAGTGATTCCCACTACCCTGTCTCCCATCTCTCCCTCTATTGTAATAGGTCTTTCGCACCTGTTCATGTGAAATAATTTACCCCATTCTACCTCTCCCTTTCTTCTGCACCCAGTATATTCCTCTTTCTCATTCCTTAGTTATTTTTTATGTCATTCCCACAAATTCGCTTTATATCTGTACCCTCTATATATTGTCCTCACTGTACTATTAGTGGCACAAGTTTTAAGAATGACAGCTATCATCTTCCCATGTAGGGATGTAAACAGTTCAGCTCCATTGAATCCCTTATGTTTTCTTTTCCTTTTATTAACTGTTTATATTTTTATTGGGTCTTGATATTGGAGATCAGATTTTTTGTTCAATTCTGGTCTTCTTCTTATGAAAACTTGAAATCCTATTTCATTGAATGACCATTTTTTTCCCTTTGAAGTAATATGCTTAATTTTGCTGGGTAGCTGGTTCTTGGCTGTAGTCCTAGCTCCTTTGCCTTCTGAAATAATCATGTTCCTTCACCTCTCATCTTTTAATGTTGAAGCTGGAAATCCTGTGTAATTCTGATTTTGACTTTCCAATATTTGAATTGTTTCTTTCTGGCCACTTACAGTATTTTTTTTCTTAGACCTGATAGTTCAATAATTTGACTATAATGTTCCTCGAAGATTTTATTTTGAGATCTTTTTCCTGAGGTGATCGCTGGTTTCTTTCAATGCCTATTTTGGCATCTGGTTACAGGATATCAGGGCAGTTGTCCTTAATAATTTCTCAAAAGATGTTGTCCAGGTCCTCCTTTTGATTATAACTTTCAGTAATCAAATGGTTCTGACATTGTCTCTCCTGAATCTCTTTTCCAAGTCAGTTTTTTTCCCCCATGAGATATTTTATGTTTTCTTCCATTTTTTCATTCTTTTTAATTTGTTTGATTGATTCTTGTTGTCTCATAGAATCATTAGCTTCCACTTGCCTAATTCTAACTTTTAATAAGTTGGTGTCCTCAAGTAGCTGTTTTACTTTCTTTTCCATTTGGCCAATTGTATTCTTTAAGGATTTGTTTTCTTCAGTGGATTTTTGTATCTCCTTTTCTGTTTGGCCAGTTCTACTTTTTAAGCAGTTGTTTTCTTTTTCCAAGCTACTAACTCTTTTTTCATAATTCTCTTGCATCACTTTCATTTCTTTTCCCCATTTTCCTTCTATCTCTCTTATGTGATTTTTAAGCTCCTTTTTGAGCTCTTCCGTGAATTCTTTCTGGACTTGAGACCACTTTCCATCTTAGTTTGGGATTTTGCCCATAGGTGTTTTGGCATTGTTGCCCTCTCCTGAGTATGTGTCTTGATATTCCCTTTCACCATAATAACTTTCTGTGGTCAGATTCCTTTTTTGTTGTTTTCTGCTCATCTTTTTTGGTCTTTTTTTCCTTTCTTTTAAATATGAACTCTGCTCCAAGATGGAAGGGGCACTGTCTCAGGATTCTTGTTCCAGGAGCTATAGGCTCTGGCTGTTTACCTGGTGCTACATTAATGTTACCCCCCCCTTTGGGGGTGACCCTTGTGTCCAGTACTGTGCTGGGTGGGGAGTAACTGGCCCTGCTGGAGGCCATAGTGGTCTGGTAGCTTACTCAGTGCTGAACCAGTGTTCTAGTGGTGGTGCCTGACACGTCCTGGGGCCTGTGTGGTGTTTCTGTGTTTCCCTGGGGCTACACTGAAGCATGTGGTGGTCAGGCTGCTGGTGTCTGTTTGCCTAGGGCTCTGCTGGGGCATGTGGCGTGTTTGCTTAGGCACCGATAAGGCTGGCTTTTACCTGTTTACCCAGGGCCACACTGAAGCACATGGAGGTCTGGCCTTTGGCGGTAGCCTATTTGTCCAGGGCTACACTGAAGCATGTGAATAGGCCAGTGCAGGCAGCTTCCTGTTTGCTTAGGCCACCCATAGGGTTGGTATTTACCTATTTTACTGGTGCTGTGCTGAAGCACATCCTGGTTCTAGAGTCTGCCCGTTTTCCTGGCTGTGCTGAGGCATGTGGTGGGTCCTGGTGTTGGCATTTGCCTGCTTCCCTGCTCTGGGGCTCAGGATCTACTGCTGGTTTGCTGAAGTGGGGCTTGCTGCTGTCTTGCTGGGACGCTCCCTGTACTTCCCTTTCACATAAGTGAGATGGACCTTTCTTAATGATCTTCCAAGTTTCTTGGGCTTAAAGATTGTTCACCCTGACTTTTTGGTGGTTCTGCTCTTCCAGCATTTGTTTTGGGGCTCTATTTTATGGTTGTTTGGAGGTGAATAGGGGAGAGTTATGGCGACTTACTGCTTACTCTGCCATCTGATGAATATCTGATGCCATCTTAGTTCCTTAATAGTCTTTCCTTTTAAACTTTCAAGAAGAAATTTTATTAGCCTAAAAGTATTCAAAAACCAATGCGCAATCATAAAATCAAGCCCTGGTTCATGTGGTCAAAGTCTTCAGCAAATTGCAGCATTCCTAATGAAAATCAGAGAATAGAGAGCAATGCAATGACTTGGCATGACTCTAGAAGACTGATGATAAAGCATACTTCCTACCTTTTGGTGGAGAGATGATGAGTTAGAGGGGCAGAATAAGGCCGCATTTTCAGGCATGCCTAATGTGTAGGTGAGCTTTTTGTTACATTGTAGGGCTTTTGGAAAGGCGGAAAGTAATAGGAGGAATAAAGAGTAGGGATAGCAATGTAAAAACTAAGAAAGAAAAGCACATCAATGAAATTTTTAAAAATTCCTAGGAGAGAGCAAAAAGAAATTTATAAGGGGAGACAGACAAGCATGGCAATGTTGGTAGTCGTATATTAAATGGAATGTTTACTTTAAAATATAGACTATATGTAATAGAGATTTATGGCTTCATATGTAATTCTTTTTTTCTTTGTTCTTTTTATATGAAATGTTCATGTTTGCTGACATGCTAAGTTCATGTTTTTTTATAAAAAAGGTAAAACAAATAAAAAGGGAAAAATAAATTTAAAAGCTAAAAAAGCAATGAAAGCTTAATAAATTTTATATAAGTTGCATTGAACTGGACCTATATAATTGCAGATATGGGGCCTTCTGTATTAAGTTTCAATATGTTTAACCTAGCAGATTCATATAAAAACTCAGTGAGTATACTGTTTTTCTCTCCTCTCTTACCCATTCCTCTTAAAAAATAATAATAGTAATCACTTATCATGCTAACAAACATTAAAAACCCAAGAACTTTTCTTAACCAATTTGTGGTCAAGGGCAAATATAGCAGAAACTATTGTGTTGAAGAAACACAAGTTCACGACAAACATTCAACATTTAATTTTCTTTTATTTGCAGTGTACTTAAATGAAGCTGGATTCAACTTTGTGAGGAAGTGCATTCAAGCTGTAGAGTCTAGAGGTAAGTGAGACACGAGTTATTTTTCTCATGTTGTTTCTGGTATGTGCTTCATTTTTATGTAGAAGCTATTTCAGGCAAATAGGCTAACGCAAGACAGACAGACTGACTAGACATTTATTAATATGTCAGGTATGTCATATTCTTAATGTATTTAGAAATTTAGAATACATTTACAAATAAAGATAAGAGCTTCATCTGTATGAACTGGGAGCAGAAGCAGCATGGCCTGGTGGAAATCTTGGGATTAGAGTAAGAGGACCTAGTTCCAGTGCTGGTTTTTGCTCCTTTCTATCTTTGTAAGTTCCATATCCTCTGAGCATCAGTTTCCTTATCCGTGAAATGATCATCTTATATTAGATGACTTCTGGTGGCCCTTCCAACTCTTACTTCACGATTCCATGAATTTTATGATCCCATGGTCCCCTTGAATTTTAAACTCCTACAACTTGTAGTCATTATGTTTTCTAGTCCCACTGAAAGGCCAAAATCCCTCACTTATGAGCTGAATTTTATCTTTGTTTCTGAAAACTTGTCTCAATTAATATGTGTGTGTGTGTGTGTATAAAGTCATACATTTACTTTATTTAATAACTTATTGCAGTGCCATACACATAATAGGCTCTTAGTAGATATTTTATATTTTTCTTGGTTGATTGTTTCCAAGATTGGGAGGTCTAGGTGACTTAACCAGTTTTAATAATTTAATATTTCAATATTTATCTTTAATATTTTAAGTATTAAATAAATTATTTATACTTTCTATTTTTAATATTTATAAACTAATATTTAATATATGACCAGTTTAATATTTAATGATTTAATATTTTAAGGTAAATGGTAAAGCTTTTTACAAGCAGTGGAGTGTCTACTTGGTTCCAGTTGTTATTAGGTATTTGCATAGCCTGGTTTCAGGTCAGTGCTTAGGAAATATTAGTGAAGATAACAAAACTTTCCAAATCCCCATTTGTTCTTCCCATTCATACAAAGATATAAAATTCCATTTTTTCCCTCACTAAGCTGAGTAATTTTAAGTAAAATAACAAGTTTCTTCTTGTTTTACCTGCACACGTAGTATGTTATGTGACTCTCACCACCAACAAAAAGGTTGTATATACCATTAATATTATTTAGAAACTGTTCTCTTTTTGATAATGTGACTATCCCTGACCTACCAGGTTCCCTACAACAATCCCCACCTCCTCAGTATTGTGGTTTGTATTTTTATTTGCCATTATTTGTTTTCAGAATCATTGTTGGTTATTTTAGTAAAGGATAGCCAAATTTCTAGCCTTGGGTACCACTAATAAGGTCAATAAGTATATCTAGTATATACAGAAAAGAGAAAGGTGAAAAGAAGCACATGGGGGAAAAAACAGTAACAAGAAGAAAAAGATAAGTAGATTAGAAAACAATTAAAGAAACATGAGGGAGCTATATTACATAATATGATGTTCTTGGTAGGTGCTAAGTAAATATTTCTTAGCCATCTCCCTCCCCCTAGTAGTTATTTTGTATATATCTTGTGTAGACTTATATATGTTCTTCAATAGAATGTAAGCACCTTGCTAGTGTCTTTTTGTTTGTATCACTATCAATTGTACAATGCCTAACATGATATTTAATAAATGCTTACTGATTAATTCAATGAATAAAGGAATGGTTAGGATGGGAGGTATTATAAAGAAATATGGCATTGTATAAAGAACCCTAGAGATAACAGGACCTTGGAGATATCAGAAAACATGAGTTTAAGTTCCTGACTCTACTATTTATTCACTGTGTAACCTTGGGCAAATCACTTAATGTCTTTAGGCCTCAGTTTCCTCATGTCAGATGAAGGGTTCAATTAGATGATCTCCAGAGTACCTTTTAGTTCTAAAATTCTATTTTGCTGTTACTTATTTCTAACAAAAATTGCCACAATAAGTAGCTAGCACAAATACTTGATCAGCCACTCAGATTGTATTGTCTGCGTAGAGGCACCTAATGTGCCATATTATCTCTGTGCCTAATTTAATCCTTGAGCAATGTTAGAAATTGTATTGAATATTTATGAAGACTAGTAAAATAATGTAAGTTACTAACTCATTGAAGTAAGCATTATTTTACTGGCCTTTATAGATATTGACTTGAATTATGGTCATTTAATATTTCTCACACAATGAAAAGGCATTCTCATGAAAACTTAAAAAAATCAGGAATCTGTGTGTTGGAGCTATATACCCTAAGCACGTTAGTCTCAAATTTTTATACGTAAAACATCCTGGGTTTGATTGGATTTATCACTTTTGTTTATCCAGATGTTTAACCATGGCATATTAAAGTAGTCTAAATTATTTTATAGTCCTTTTGCTCATCATTAGTGAAACTGATATGGGGCAAACCAGGAGAATATAGGCCCAAGAGCTGGCCTGGGCCACTGGGGTAGGTAAGTACAGAGACAGTGTGCTACATACAAGCAAGAAGTCATAAATGGAGGATTCTACTCAATTTATAAGGTGGAGTTTGGAGTTTGGGAGAACCAATCCAGAAGCAACAGGCAAAGTATTAAGGCCAGATAAAAGTGTTTAAGGCTTCAGGACAAAGTGGGCAAGTCTGAGTAGTCTGACTGGGATCAATGTCCAGAGAATCAAATTAGACAGGAGAGTCTAGGTAGAAAGAAGTATAATCCAAGTGTACAAGGAGGGAGTATACACTCTGGGATTCAAACATCCCTGAGGGAATGATGAGAATTGAAGTCCAGACATGCAGAGTTGAAGAACAGCATCTTAAGGAACAGAGTACACGGGTGGATCCATGCAGCATCATGGAGGATCTAGAGATAGAAGGGGCTTTGGAGGCCATGTCTTCCCATTCCTCATTTTCATAGATGACAAAAACTGAGGCCTGGTATAGGAGATGGATTGCTCAGTGTCCTGGTTTTAAATTTCCTCTTGGATAAGGGCTGAGAGATAAGTGCTATACTCCAGGGTAAGCCGTGACTGCAGATTTATGTAGGAACTCAGGGACAGAATTCTAGGTCCTCAGCAGTTCTGACAGTCTTATCGAGAGGAGGAAGTGTTAGCTTAAATGGTTGAGGAATATAATGCAATAAATATTAGGTAACATTGAGTGATCATAGAATAATAGATTTAGAGCTAAAAGGCACTTTAGAGTTCTTCATTTTTACATATGAGGAAACCACAGACTAGGAAAGTAAAGTGACTTGCCCAAAGTCATATAGGTAATAAGTGGAAGAGCCAGAATTTGAACCCAGGTCCTAAGACCCTAGATCTACTTTTTATTCAACTACTCCACATGTAGTGAAACATCTCTTCAGCTAAGGGATATCTGCCTTCCTGCATGTCCTAGAAGAAGTTTAAACAAATCAGAATGGTAAAAATTGAAAGTTGTCAAATTCACATTTGATATCCTGAAAATATTATCTAATGTGAGAAATAGAGGCCTAAAAGAAGTTTCAGGGATAAACTTGTTAAAGTTAAAATTTCAGAAGTGGATAAGTAGCTTTCAAATTGTGGATAGGCCTGTCTGGGCAGCATTGTGTCCTCTGGAGTCTGTTTCAGGTGCTCTTCCTCTGATTCTTCCCCTTAGGTATCACCATTTTAGGGCTCTACCGAATAGGAGGTGTGAACTCCAAGGTCCAGAAGTTCATGAACACCATATTTTGTAAGTAGGAAATGAAATTAGTTACTCAATGTGGATTCTTTTTGGGACTCTATGCAAGGAAAAGAAGCACCCATACAAGGCTTCTGTTAGCTAGAGACCCTCTGCAGGCTTCTTTTCTTTCGTCTGTGATCAGTGTAAATTGAAATTCTTTGTGTCCTTAGGTAAGATTTTAAAACCAGATCTGTATTATTGCTTTAATCACCTCAGCTGAAAGATCTAGCTGCTTCTTCAAGTTTTACTGGAGCTCTTTGTCCAGAGTCCTCCTTTGCCCACATCACACTGTACATGGAGTTATGTTTGCATTCATGCCTGTTGTCTGCTTTCCCTCTCCTTGGTCCCTCTCCCCCAGATGAATATTAGCTCCTAGGGTGTGATCATTGGCCTTTTTTAATCTCTTTATCCCCAGTCCCCAGCACATTGCCTCATACATACTGGGTGAATTGAACTTGTGTAATCAAAGAATACAGGACTTGGAGTCCAAGACCAATTACTTAAGCAATTACTAAGCATCTGTTAAATTCCAGATTCTAAGCAAGGAGGATAGAAATTTCAAAATAAAGCAGTTCCTACCTTTAAGGAGCTTACATTCTACTAAGTCTAGTTTGGAATCAATCCTATCCCTACCCCTTGTGTGATCTCTAGCATGTGACTTAACTTCATCTATTTCCTCAGGTGTCAAAAGAATAAATTAATTCTGTACTGCCTGTCTCATAGGGCTGTTGTGAGGCTCAAATAAGATACTGAATGATTACTTTGTAATGTCAGATAATGATGGTAACAAAAATGATAGCTGGCATTTACATAGCACCTACTGTGTGACGGCCACTGTGATGAAACACTTTATAAATATTATCTCACTTTATAACAACCCTGGCAGGTAGGTCCTATTACTACCATCTCCATTTTATAGTTGAGTAAACTGTGGCAAACAGAAGTTAGGTGACTTGTTCAGGGTCACACATTGTCTGGGGCTAGATTTGAACTCAGGTTTTTCTGACTCTAGACCCAGCACTCCCTGTCCACTGTGCCACCTAGCTATTATAAGGTTACCACACACTCAGTCTTAATGATTAAACTGTTTAGGCATTCAAGACCTTCACCATCTGGATTTAGAAGGAAGCAATTACTTCTGATTATTCAGACTTCTTCCTCAGATCCTAGGAATAACCAAAGGCTTATTAGTGCTCAGAGAGCAAGCATCACAATTGAAAACCCAGACTAATTTAAACCCTTCTGTTTGGAGCCTACAAATTATGCTTACTCTCCTGAAGTTCTTATGCCGCTTGTATTGGGGTCAGTGAACTTGTGCTTTAAAAAATATTTTTGACGGCTGTGTTTCAATATAATTGATTTCCTTTGCAACTCTATTTGCTTTATTTTATACATTTAAAAACATTATTCTGAGAAGAGCTGCATTGGCTTCACCCAACTCTCAAAGAGATCCATGACACAAAAAAGGTTAAGAACTTCCAGGTATAGTAGGAAAGACTGGTCATCAAAGCTTAACAATGATTTGGAGTTGTTTGGTTTAGCTGCAAAGCTAACTAGTTTCTCTTGGCTGCACCCCCCCCCCCTTCCTAGCTTCTTTCTTCCAGAGACTGGGGGTAGAGGTGAAGTAGGACAGGGATTTGCCCTTAGTGCCTTTACTCTACTACTCAGGGTTGCATAGGTGGAGCTCCTGAGCCAACCATCTAGATTTGCTTGAGTTTAGTACTTACCAAGCCTGTATGTCCCTAATAGGAGAGCTTAGCTCATTCTTTGCCCAGGAAAATCCACGAAAGTCTAGATTCTTATAACTTAATATTTTCTCCCATTTGGGGGAATTATAATACTATCCACTAACATCTCTTTGACTTCAATCCTGAAGATTCCTTTAGCTCCTCCATCAACTCCTCTTGAGCAAATGAAAGACATACAGAGCAGCAATGCCTTGGTTTAACCACAAATTTATCTTAGTAGTTTCTTGTAGAGATTTGGTTAATAGCAACATGAAATACATACTTCAAAGAAACAGAGATGAGCTTTGGAGCAGATGCTCTGGAGAGGAGCATGAATGCTGTGGGTTCTGTCTAGCTCAATTCCATATTATGATAGTAATAGCATCGACAAGGAAAGCAGCTAGGGCATTATTGGTCCTTCAGGACCTCCTTTTATCTTTATCAGTTGGAAAGGAACTCTGTCCTTTCCAAAGAAAGTTACTTATGTCTTGCTGTAAGTGAGAGCCCCTGTGCCTTTTCAAGTACAGATAGTCCCACAGTCCCTGGCACCAGAAACTTTCTATTTGCCTATATATCTCCATTGCCCCACTACATAAGAAAGATGTTGGGACTATGCTCTCAGGAAAAGCAAATCAATGAGTTGTTTCAGGTGTCACCACCAGATTATATTAAGCAGTATTCTGAGTTTAGCTCCAATGTGTTCTGAGCAGTCAATATTTTATTCTCCTTAGATCACATCTCCTTTACTTGTTTGATTGGTTTTCTGAATATCCTATTTTATATCTCTATTTTTATTTTTTTCCAGCTCCTAAGTCTCCTCCTGATATTGATATTGATATTGAACTGTGGGATAATAAAACAATTACAAGTGGACTAAAAAACTACCTCAGGTAAGATTCACTACTTAGATTTTTTCATTTTTTCTACAGCCTTTCAAAGTGATCACAATATTTCACTGGGGTTAGAAAGTTCTGCTCTTGATTTGTGGCTTTGATTTACCCCTTAGCTTAATTTCTTTGAGCTCCTGGAATGAATAGTAAGAGTCTGATAACATGTATACTTGCAAAATTGCAGCTTGGCTTTAGGACTAATGTTTTAAAAGGTCACAATATGGGCATGTTACACTTTGAAAGTAGAACTTTTTCCATCATAAAACTTGCTCCAAAAGATTTTGAAGAATGTCTTTAATTCAAATCTTTGGTAATAATTTAAAAATTTTTTTTATTTAAGAAGTCAACTTTGGCCCTTAAAAAAACACAATTCTAAGGAGTTATATATAAATTGTTATACTTTCATTGGTTTACTTTAAAAGTAGTATCAATAAATGAGACAGATCCTTACCTTATAGAGATTGGTAATTATAATTTAATTAAAAAAATCAGTAAGTATCTACTGACACCTGGGGTAGGTGTTGAAAGTAAAGAGATGAAACAAGGCACAGAACTTACTTTCAACGGAGTCAATTGTGAGTGAGCACACCTAATAAACACAAACAACTATAAAGCAGAATGTGATAAGTGTAAAGGAGAGATTCAAAAATTCCATGAGAAATTTAAGGAGAGAGCTACTTTTCACCTGAGGTCATACCTGAATTGTGCCTTGAGAGACAAGAGAAATTTCAGTAGTCTGATAAAGATGAGGAAGCATGGGAACAGGGCAGGACAAAAATGGGGACAATAATCCAACTTGGCTAGAATGCATAGTTTGTAAAGGGAATATTCTAAGAGAAGACCAGAATGTGTGATTAGAACTAGATTGTGGAGGTCCTTGAATTCCTGGGTGGGGAGTTTATGCTTTACTTCAGAGGCAATAGTGAACCACCAAGGGTTTTTTGAGTTGGAAGAGTGACATCATCTGAGGCCTGCATTAAGACTGCTTTGGTAGCGGTGTAAAGGATAGATTGAAGTAGGAAAATCAATTAAGAGGCTATTATAGTTGGTTAGGTAACAGGTAATAAGTGAAAGACTGAACTAGGGTGGTTGCAATTTGTATGAAAAGCAGGAAATAGGCATGAGAAATATTGCAGTGTTATAATAATCAGGTCTTGACAACAGCCTAGACTGTGAGGAGTAAATGAGCATCCAAGATAACTATGAGGCTGTGAGCCTTAGTATCTAGGAGGGTGATCATGGTCCCATCAAGAGAAAAAGACGTGGCAAGAAAGGGGATGTTTGGCGGTACAGTGCTAAGTTCAGTTTGCAACCCGGTGATTTTGAAGTGCCAACAGGACATCCAGATGGACATGTCTAGAAAATTAGATTGAAATAGGAGACTAGAGTCTGGGGTGGGGGCAGAAGGATGAAAAGATTTGGGAATACCAGTTAGATTGTCAATAGTTAAGATTGTTTATTCTATCATTTTCCTCTTTCTTTTCTTGTGGTTATTTAGATTTTTCCATTATACCTGAGGCATTTTATTTTTCTGCCCCTTATTACCATTAACTAGTCATTATTTAGAATTTATAGATGTGTGTGTGTGTCTGTACTTCCATACATACATATATATGGGTTGGGTTTGCAGGGTCATTTATTGAATAGGACATTGTTAGCTAACTAGAGCCAGGAAGACCTGGGTTCAAGTTTTACCTCTGACATATTATTGACTGTTTAACCTCGAGCAGGGTATATAACCTCTCAGTGCTCTAGATAACTAAGACTTTAAAATTGCAGACAAGATGCTTAGTCACAGTGACGTGAAGTCACAGGCCTGTTCCTTACTCCCATTTTATATGATAAATAGGTGGCGCAGTGCCAGCCCTGGATTCAGGAAGACCTTTTCCTGAGTTCAAATCTGGCCTCAGACACTTAACATCTGTGGGACCCTGGCCAAGTCACCTAACCCTGTTTGCCTTTGTTTCCACATCTGAAAATGAACTAGAGAAGGAAATGGCAAACGACTCTAGGGTTTTTATGAAGAAAACCTCAAAACAGGGTCATGAAGAGTTGGACATGACTGAAAAATGACTCAACAGTCAGGGATTTGAACATTTTATGTCTCTAAAAAAATAGAACACTAGGTCAAGTTGTTTGTTTTTAATTATATGTCTCTTAGTTGAAAAGGAGTTTATTTTCCCCCATGGTCCAATGTCTATTTAGCCACTTTGCTGTCATTGTGAACTTGGTCTCAGGCTAAGAAGAGATTGTATGACTCAGGAGTGTCTTATGAGTAATATTCTGAAGAAGCCAGGGGCACAGAGTTTAGCATATGGGAAGTGGGTAAAAGCTGCCATTTAAAAATGCATTTCTTTTGTTCTATGATAGGTGTCTCACTGAACCACTGATGACTTATAAGTTGCACAAGGATTTCATTGTTGCTGTTAGTAAGTATTTTTTTAAAAAGATATATACTGTTTTAAAATCCAATCATAGCCCAACAACCATCTAAAGTAGTTGTTAACAATTCATTTTGCCATTTTAAATTAAGTTTTGAAATTCATCAGTACTTCAGAGATTCATGATTTTATTAATGTGAGGTACTCCCTGTACTAACCAAAATTATATCCCCTACACACTTCAGTAAATGTCTTCACAATTACCTATGCCAAAGTAAGTTAAATTACCTAATAGGCAGATTTCTGCTGATGAGCCTTTACCAGTTTTAATGATCTTTTATTGACAAAATTCTCATAGTCCACAGACAGACCTGTAACTCAGAGGCTTTCTATCTACCAGAGCATTACCTCCCATAATTCAGTGTCATTTCAACAATATGGTAAAAAATAAAAATAAGATTTTAGTAGAGGAAATTTTGAAACATTAGTTTTAGTTAATCCGTGGTTTAATGTAAAAGGATGTGATACATAAACATCTAATAAAGGGGATGAATTATTTGAAGTTGTTTCATTGATTTCATTGAGTGCCTTTAATAGGTGAATTGCATAAAATAACTTGAGACTTGAATGCATATTGTTGGTACTATCCTGTCTAAAGAAATTAATTTAATTAATTAATTTTAATATTCTGTTATTAAAATCATCTGCTTCATGGGATAAATATACTTTAAGAAAGTTGGACCTACAGTAAAGTTCTTTAGCATAGTGCAGTGCAGTGGAAAGCTTGATGAGCTAGGAATTGAAAGGAATGGTTCTCATTACACCTTAATCATTAATGAGCTTTCTAACTTTCAACAAGCTACCTCACTTCTTTGTCCCCAAGTTTGCCAGTATATAAAATGAGCATGTTGTACTAGCTGATTCCTAAAGTAGCTATATAGTTATATGACTCGATGAAACTATTTTCCTATTAATTTCCATTATAAAAATGGAGATCAGTATTGGACCCTGAGCATAACAAAAATTGAAATGTGAAATGATCCTAATTAAATTCAATAACAACTGTTATCCAATAGGTTGGTTTCTCTTTCCATTATAGCCAAGGAAGAGACAAAGCCCTGATGGGTGGAAGTTTTCAAGGACTTAAAAACAAATTCTTTTTTTCAGTTTTAAAATATTTTTATTTAACATTTTGAGTTCCAAATTCTATCCTTCCCTACTTCCTTCCTCTCCCTGCCCCCTCCCTGATATAGTAAGCAATCAGATTTAGGTTATATGTGTACAATCATGTAAAACATTTCCATATTAGTTGTAAAAATAAATTCTTAACCTTAATGTTGTGAGAAAATCATTTGGAGCTCTGTTATTGGAACCTAGCCCCTGCAAAGAGAGTGAACAAGGCAAAGAGAACAAGTGAAAAATATGAGACTTCTTAATGTCTCTAATTGATTAATGAGCAGAATTTGATCATTATTGGTGTCTGATCTTTGCTTGTAGAAGTTGTTATGTCTACAATGGCTTGCTTTTCATAAATTAGAAACAGTTTCTCTGTTTTGATTAGTGCCTGGAGATACTTACTGGTGTGCAAATAAGCTAATGAACTGTAGAGTTTTACCTCAAAATCCTTACCCATGCACAATGACTTTCTTCTTGTAAAATATCTCTTTAAGAGATTGTCACATGAAAGACTGACAGCAAAATTCCTCATTACAAGTTACATAAGGTTTTCATTGTTGTTTCTGAGTACATCTGAAAAACAAAAGATAAAGGATAGAGTTTATGGTGTTTTAAATCTATACATCCAAGATCAGTTTAATTAGTACAACAGCCATTTATAGCAATTATTAACAATTAATGTTTTCAAATTTTGAAATTCTTCAGAGGTCCATGATTTTATCCATGTAGGTTATTCCTATGCCAGTCAAAATGATAACCTTCTCAGTACTCAATGTATGTGTGTCTATATGATAGCTTCTAAAGGATAATGTCATTTCATGCCAATTTTTTTAGTTGTATCATATTTTAGGTTTTTTTATGGTTTGGAATTTCTTTTAGGCAAGACAGAAAATTTTTTCTTAAGGAGCTATTAAAATATGTGCATAACAAGTATCTTCCATAAATATAACTTTATTTCAAAATGTTTAATGCTTCAATCACAGTCAGTATGCTATGGGTTGGAAGGCTTCAAAAGGTCAAGGTTGTAGGCCAAACTCAGGCACTTACCTCTTATGACTTTGATCAGTTTATTTCATTCTTCTTGTCTTGAGTTTCTCCATTTGTGAAATGAGGGAGCTGGACTAGAGAAGTGATAAATCTCTTCCAGCTAAAACTCTCTACTCTATAAGTTATGTCTGTAACAGTAAAGTATTATTTAAATGTAAGGCTTTGTTTTTCTTTACAGTGATATTAAGTTATAGAAGATTAGGAAATTTGAATTATACAAAATAATGAGTTGAAGGGGAAGTATTTTCCATGTTTTGAACTGTAAACATGACAATATAGTAACAATTTATTAATGAAGAGATAAGAGTTATGACTTTCAATTTGCTAGAAAAGTCTTAAATACAAAAGTAAAAAGGTTTATAAATCCAACAAAAAGAAAATTATCTCATAATCCATAAATTTCAAAAGTTTTTTTTTTAATTTTATTTTAAAATAGAGGAATAGGTTAAAGGTTTTTAATACATGAGTATCTAGTTTTACAAGTTCATAGAATTTAGACCTGGAAGAGAACTCAAAAATCATTTAGTCCAATATCACTGATTTTACAGATGAGAAAAGTTATTCTTGGTCACGTAGTTCAGTGTAGCAGGCTTGGGACTCATTCAGATTCCCTGATGATATATTCGATATACATTCCATGATATCATGCTACTTCCCTCAATCTTGTCCTAAATTAGAATACAGTTAGAGTGCAGGAACACAAACAGGCAAGCTAATGATGTAGTCTGCTGAGAAGAATGAGTAAAGGACAACCAAATCAAGATCATTGGCACTAATAAGAACTGATGGTAAAGAATGAAAATATCCATGAGGTGCGAGAAATAGTTATTTCTCTCTTATGTTAATAACCAATTATTAATTGAAATTGTGATTTTCCCTTTTCTATTTCCTCATTCAGAAATCAGCCCATTGTAGGTTATTTAGCAAGCATCTGAAGGACATTGCTGATAGATGAGATTGCCCAGATCCTTGGGGTACATGCTTTCTGGTCTTGTTCAAGACCCCACATATCTGGGGATGCTTAGTTCTGATTAAAGAGTAAAAAGAATCCAAGCTAGGTGGATTCTGGCCCATTTATGTTTTCTTCAGGCAAGCTTGGGTGAGGAGTAGATCTCTTTGTCTCTACTGCCTGAGGCTGGTGGTGATCTGGGAGTAAGAGTGTCATAATTAGTCACATCCCAGCCCCTCATTAGAATAGATTTGATTGCTGCCTATCAGGAACATTCACTCTTCTGAGGGCATATAAGCATTGAGAGGTCTCCATGATTCATCTGTTTATTTCCAAGAGAAAGCCAGATGATCATCCTTTTGTTAATTACTTGTTAGCCATAATTAATAAACTTATTAACTACCCAGAAACTAAGTCCTTTGAACTTTTTATTCCTCACAAAGGGAAAAGACAAAGGAAACACAAGCTAAAATGGTACAGCAAATTTGGACTATTTAGTGAAGGGGCAAACACTAAGGTGAGCCAGCCTCTGAGGGCTTCACTGTATAACAAACAGTAATAGCTATCATTCATAAAAATGATTTTACATGAATCGTGAGAAACTAAAATTATTTACTTGAACACTATGGAAAATGAAGAACCAAAGAAATATCTCTACAAAAATCAGTTTCATGAGGATTTTAGACAAGCAATTTACTAAAAATGACTGGTATTCTCACTGCATAATTGTATTCAAGTCTCATTTTCTCTGGCTTAGAATATACCAAATTTTTAAGGTGTGATATGACACATCAGATTCTTAAGATTCATCATGTCTGTTATACTAACACTATAACATATGCTATACATCTGAATATGAGGAAACAGTCAAAGAATTTTTGGCAGAAAATAGTAATTCACAGAAACTGTATAGCGCACACACACAGACGTACACACACATGCAGGTGGCATTGTATTCAGTTCTTCATGAAGTTTAAACCTTATGCCTTTTGTTCTTCATAGCAGGCTGGATAACAAAACCAAACGCAAGAACTTGCTCTTTAAAAAAGACACCTTTCGAACATAAAGACACTTAAAGAGTACAGACAGAAAGACATGTATAGGTGAACAAAATTTTCTTTGCTACAGATGTTACAGTTGTGCTTTGCAGATAAAGTAACAATAAAAATTGACAATATTAAAAAGATAAACAGAAACTACATTATGTTTAAAGGTACCATAAATAACATGTGTACCAAATAGCTTCTCATAAATGTTCCTGAAAGGAAAGCTAATTGAATTGCAAAAGAAAGAGACAGGGTACCAGAATTGTAGAATACTTTAATATCTCTCTTTCAGAATTGGACAAAACTAACATGAAAGATTTAAAAAAGAAGGAAAGCATAGAACTGAACAAATTGTTAAAATAATTAGATTTAATGGACTTCAGATGATTCACAAATTATCTTTTTAAAGATGATCTTTTAAAAAGTGGGAATATTAAAGAACTGATGTACTTCTCAGTATTTTGTGGTACCTTTACAAAACTTGATCATCTGATAGGACATAGAAGAACTACAAATGCATGTTAAAATAATGCAGAAACATTAAAAATATGTTTCTTTATGCCATAATACTATAAATATTAATGAATAAAGGAATAAACAAAAGATATCAACCTAAATTAGATAAAGTAATAACATCCCAAATAATGAGTGAGTCAAAGAACAAATAACAGAAACAATGTAAAAGAAAAAACAACAATGGAACCACATGCAAGCACTTGTAGGAGTGCTTAAAGTGCTTAGAATAAATATTATATTTCAGAAAACATGATAGCAAAACAGGAAAAGAGAATATTAATGAACTGTTTATTAAAGATACGTATGACCAGAAAGAATTGAGCTGGCAGTATGGCAAAAATGAGTGACAACAGGTTAGTAACAATTAAGAAATTAAAAAAACTAATGGAAGGCCTCAATTGTGAATCCTTTTGGTGGATTCTCTTTGAAAGATTTAAAGAAAAACATGGAAAAAAATTGCATGAGATAAGAAAGCAGAGAGGTTGTGATATGCATTGGTGGAAGGAGTGCCCTTACTGATGAAATCACAGCTCCATCAAAGTAAGTAAACTATAATAGTTTTGTGAGCCACCTGCTTGCTACCAATAATAAATGAATAATGCTAGTGGTTAAAACTTATTAGCAAACAAATGTGTCCTTGTATAGTACAATTCAATGTATATTAGAATGCTGTGTATGTACTATATACAAAAAGTTGTATATTACAATGCTAAGATAACAAGAAATTCTGAATTTAAATGCCAATAAGTGTTAAAGGAGGTTGGATATTGATTTCCCAGGCTGAATTCTTAGATATTCATATAAATGATGTAAGAATTTAGCTTTGTGATTGAGGTTGTGACATGTTAATAAGTGCCTTCTTATTTAAGGAGTAACATATGTTTCCATGTATTGATGACTTAGACCTTTATCAATTCTCTTTTATTACAGAATCTGATGACCAAAACTACAGGGTGGAGGCAGTCCATGCATTGGTGCACAAATTACCAGAAAAAAACAGAGAGATGTTGGACATCTTAATAAGACATTTAGTCAAGTAATTCCCCTCACCAATTCTTTCCTGTTTTCCATATCATTGTAATTTCTGCTTGATAGATAATATACAGCTTAGGAATCTTAAACTAGATTGCAGTGACATCTATACTTTTAATTAGGGGCCCACTTTCATCAGTAAGGTGAGATTGAAGAGTACCAGAAGGGTAAGTAGCATGGAAAATCTTGCCTCTTTTTAAAGTTAGTTTGAGTATGGCTTTTGGAGGGATCATAGTATCATAAAGTTGAGTCTGAAAGGACTTTCGATGTCATCATCCATCCCTGTATCATGCTTATTTTACATTCAATAATTATTTTTTTTGGCAATTGGAGTTGCCCAGGGTCACACAGCTAGTGTCAAGTATTCAGTCTGAGGCTGAATTTGAACTTAGGTCCTCCTGACTTCAGGGCCAGTGCTCGATCCACTGTGCTGCCTAGCTGCCCCATCATGCTCATTTTACAAATGAGAAAATGGAAGCCCTGTGAGTTTTTGATTTGTTCGATGTCACAGAAGTAGTAAATGGCAGAACTTGGATTTGAATCCTGTAATGCCAGAGCTGGCACTCTTTGCACTATACAGTGCTACCTCATAATTGGTTCTTATTAAATATAGGTATAATTCACTGAGGAGTCATATGGAGAGAAGATATTTAAATGCTACTGCTTTGAAATCAGATCAGAATGAAATAAAAGCTTGGCTTAGGTTGAAGAAGTTGGGAGTTACACTTATGAACAAGAAGCAGCTGACTCATGGAAGTGATCCCATGTGTGCTTGTACTCACAATTGCTATTTTGACCAGATGGTGCAGTTATTTTTCTGTTTTATGGCCACAAGCTCACCTTCTAACCTTGGGCAGCCATCTCACAAATCTATTGCGTTTATCACAGAAGGGATCGATCACTGGCAAGTGGCTTCTTGGAAATTTTCATTTAACTCCTTTACTGGAAAAATAACTTAAAGCTCATCTTTCTATGTTACTAAAAATGAGATATTTCTATTGTCTTATAATAATAGTTATAAGCATAATAATGTTATAGACATATAATAATAATAGCAAGCATATAGTATTTTAAGGTTTACAAAGGACATTAAAACTGTTATTTCATTTTATACTCACAATAACCGGGGAGGTAGTTGCTATTATTATCCCCACTTTACAGATGAGGAAACTGAGGCAGACAGGTTAGATGACTTGCTCAGAGTCACACAGCTAAGTAAGAGTCTGAGGCTGGATTTGAACTTAGGTCTTCCTGATTCCAGTACTTTATCTTCTGGACCACCCAGCTACCTTTATATGCAAATGACTATAGATACACACACACACACACACACACACACACACACACACACACACACACACACACACAATAACCCCTTTAAAGATATTCTGCTGGATGGAAAAGGCTTGGCTTAATATGTGCCCTCTGCCCACCACAATGTGAATGTTCAGAAATACTTTCCTTAAAGCAGGAACAGTAGATGTCAATTGCCATGCCTACAATATACAAGGTTCCTGAATAGGAGCTGGAAATACAAAGGCAAAAACAAAGCAGTCTTTAGATCAAGGATCATTTTACCTAGGACAGGTGCTCCTAACTTGGAGTTGTAAATGTTTAAAAAAATTGTTGCTAACTGTATTTCAATATAATTGGTTTCCTTTTAATCTTCTGTATTTTATTTTATGCATTAAGCATTCTGAAGAGGGGTCCATGGAATTTCACCAAAGCGCTAAGCAGGCCCATTAAAAAAAATTTATAACCTCTCCTCTAAGGGATGGTGACAGAGTCAGTATATACACAAATAAATATAATATCAAGTCATTTAAGGGAAGAGAGTACTAGCAACAGAGGAGATCCAGATGGGTTTCATAGAGGAAATGGAACATGAACTGAGCCTTGAAGAAAAATTGTTGGATGTGAATAGTGGTAGATCCAAAAAGTAGATATCAGTTTTTGTTTTTAAAAAAAGTTCCTCTGGTAGGCATATAATGTCCTGCTTTGTTTCAAGAAAACTGAAGAAATTACTTTAAAATGTAAATGAGAGCATCGAAATGACTCAACAGGCAGTCAGTAATCAAGAGAAGAAAGGAAATAGTAAGGGTGAGCTTAGCCATCTTTGATTTCAAGTCACCTGGACCAAATGTAAGTTCATTCTAGAGTCAAGTGGAACAGTGAATGGAGTGCTAGGCCTGACATCAGAAAAACTTAAAAGAGTTTAAATCAAGCCTCAGATGTTTACTAGTTTTCTGGCTCTCTTAAACCTCTGTTTCCAGTTTAACCAACTATACAATGAGGATAATGATAATACCTAAATCACAGGTTTGTTGTGAGGTCAAATGAGATATTTGTAAAGTGCTTAGCTAGCACAGTGGCTGCCACATAGTAGGTGTTTAATAAATGTATATTTCCTTCCTTCATTCTTGAGACCTGAAAGAACTGACAGACAAGATTACAGAGCTACTATCAGTGATATTTGAAGGATTATGGAAAAATTCCAGTATTTGAGCAGGACAAATGTTTTTTCTAGTTATGTGTGTGTATAAATATTTTTAATGTACAAAATCAGGACAATATTTGCCTTTCTCCAGACCTATAGACATATGTATATGTATATACACATATGTGTAAGTGTGTGTGCTTATGTGTGTAGAGGGAGAGAGGGGGTGGAGAGAGACAGACAGACAAAGAGGCAGAGAAAATATGAACCAAGCTCATTTAGATTTTTTTGATAGGATTACTAAACTGCTAGATAAGGGTAATTCTTTGAATACAGTTTACCTAGATTTTAGTAAAGTTTTAAATAAAATATCTCATTCTGTTCTTATGAAAAAAGATGAAGTATTATAGATTAAACAGTAGTATAATCAGATGTATTCAGAACTGATTAGATAATCTGACTCAAAAGGTAATTGTTAGTGGTGCCAATGGCAAATTAACAGGTCTCCACTGGAGAACCCCTGGGTTGTGTGGTTTTTTTTTTCACATTTTTAGCAATGTCTTAGATAAAAGCATAAATGTTATATTCATTAAGTATACAGATAACACAAAGCTAGGAGGCATAGCTAAACAAATAAATGGTAGGCTCCAAAAGGCTCTTGACAGGCTAGAGAATTGGTTTGAATCCAACAAGATAATGTTCAGTAGGGAAAAATGTAAAGTTTTGCATCTGAGTACAAAAAATCAGTATCACAAGCATGGAAGAGGCATGGGGAGAAAGCAGTTATTCTGGAAAAGGAATGAGTGTTTTCATGAACTTATTTAGCAGTGTTGTTGTTGAGTCATTTCAGTTGTGTCTTACTCTCTGTGAAGTTTTGGAGTTTTCTTGGTAAAGATACTGGAATGGTTTGCCATTTCCTTCTCCAGCTCATTTTACAGATGAGAAAACTGAGGCAAACAGGGTTAAGTGAACATGCCTGGGGTCACAGACATTTGTAAGTATCTGAGGCCAGATTTGAATTAAGGAAGATAAGTCTTACTGACTCTGTTTTTGCCAGTGCTCTATCTACTGCACCACTCAGCTGCCTTTAGCAATGTTAGGTAGCTATCATAAAAGTTAATGTGATCTTGGAATGAATTAAGAAGGTCATAACTTCCAGGAATGGTGAGGTCATGGTCTCACTCCACTCTGCTTTTGTCAGACTTCATCTGAAGTATTGTGTTTGATTCTGGGCATTGATAAGCTAGAGAAAAGCCAGAGGAAGACAACTAGAATGGTGAAAGAACTAAGCCTATATAGACTGGAGAAGAGACTCAGGGGACACATCATAGTTCTTCTCAAGTATTTGAAGCTCTGTGAAAAGAAAAAGGGACTAAATATGTTCCTTTTGGCCCCAGAGGACAGTAGGTGGAAGTTACAAAAAGACAAATTTAGGCTTGATGTCAGGAAAAACTTCTTAATTATTAGAGCTGTCCACAAGTGGAATAGGCTGCCTGGAGAGATGATGAGTTCCATGTCCTTGGTGATCTTCAAGCAGAGGCTGGATAATCATTTATCAAGTATATTATATGGAAGACCCTCAAATGCTGTGGCTGTCAGAAAAAAAAAAGGTTGGTTAAAGACCTTGACAGTGTTTTTGGAAAGGAACAGAATACCTGTTTTTCAAACTGCCCTACCTGTCTGGAAATCATGCATTATCTACATCTTGGTCACCAGTGCAGTAATTTTGACATTTATTTGTTATACACCATTCATCTGTTAATTCATCATTTATTAACAATGTGCAGCTATGTGCTGTGCTACGTTTATTGGTGTTAAAAGCTAAATAAGTGTAGTTACTGCTTTTCTGAAGATTGCTTGGTCCACTCTGTGGCAGTTTTATGGGGTTAAAAGAATGAAAATTTAAAAGACCCTCTCGTTTGTTGTAATAGAAATAGCAAATCAGTTTAGGATTAGCTCAGCTATTGTTTATTGACAGCTAGATCACTTGTGTTTTTCTGGGCAAGTCAGTTAACCTCTATGTACCTCAGTTTCCTCATCTGAATAGTGAGGCAGTTGGCCTAGATGACTCTTGAAATCCCAACTCTAGGTCTGTGATCTTTTGATTACGTGAGTACTAGGTTTCCTTGTGGCTCTAAAGCTCTTTGTTTCAAAAATGTTTTAAATAAGTATTTGCATTAATTTAATCTTTTTCAACAAACTACATTAGTTCCTTTTAAAAATTCCTACTCTAAAATGTATTTTACATGTAAATACAAAAAATGACACAACAGGGTTATTGCTGAACATGATATGTAGAAACTCCAAATGTTTGTAGATTTTGAATTAAAGTTACTAGAGAATAGGGCATAAAACAAACATCTGTTGGTTATATTCATACTTGAGGAAAAAGTCTCTTTGTACATGCTGCCTTTTGCTTTTTTTTCCGTAAAAATGTCCTTAAAATAGATTCCAAATGATTTCATAACCGTTCCTAGCAAAGGTCTGATTGCTAATTGGTACACATCCTAATATGAATTTCCTCTTTTCATCCAATAAGTTTAGATATTTCCAAAAGGAAACAGTCATGTGTCTGTCTCCCTACCTGACTGAATGAATGAGGTGGATAGTCAGCTGAAATGCTTGATTACCTGTGTCTGTATCTATTTAGTAACCTTAGGTAGAGGGTAATTCCATGGGGAGAATATTGGTTATCAAAATGTTCCCTCTTATATATAGCTGGGTTATCAACTCTCTTTTTAGAAAGAGACTGAGGAGGCAACTAGGTGGCACAGTGGAGAGAGCACCAGCACTGGAGTCAGGAAGATTTGAGTTCAAATGTGGCCTGAGACACATGAACTCACTAGCTGTGTGACCCTGGCCAAGTCACTTAACCCCAATTGCCTCAGAGGGGGAAAAAAGAGATTGAGTTTTGAGCTGATTTTCAAATTTATACTCACTCATTCTCAGTGAGATTAATATTAACCTCTTTGTTTCACTATCAAGTGCTATGATTTTAGCAAAAATATCTCAAATTATTGCCAATTTAATTTCATTGTGAGGGCATTATTTAAAAACACACTTTTTATAGAGATCTTCAGTAAGGAAATAATTAAAAATGTTTAGCTTGAAAGTCCAAGAGCACTGAAGGATACTCAGCACCTAAGTATTCATATTTGAAACACAGTAAATCCAGTTAATCCTGTATTGGATGTAAAAGGACAAGAGGGAGGAGAGAGTACAGGAAAAATTTTCTCTTTCTTGTTCTGCCCAAAGGAGTCTGTAATTTCTGTTGTCCTGGACAGAGGGCCAGCAACCGAAACTAGAATATTGTATTCCATTTTCTTAGTTAACCATGTCATAATAAAAGAATGAGACTTTTGAAAGATTTTAATGTGGTTTTATAGAAGGAACATTATTAGATTAGGATTCTAAAGATCAGAGTTATAGGTGCAGCTTTTGAACATTCTTCCTTTTTATTCTCTATAAAGAATTGGCACAGGGGCAGCTAGGTGGCACAATAGATAGAACTCCGGGCTTGGAGTCAGGAGGACCTGAGTTCAAATTCAGCCTCAGACACTTGACACTTACTAGCTGTGTGACCTTGGGCAAGTCACTTAACCCTGATTGCCTCACCAAAAAGCAGGGGGAAAAAAAAGAGAGTACCAGATGATCATATTAATTAAAAGAAAAGGAGATCTCGAGGATATTTGGTTTTAGAATATAGAGACATAGACTTGAACATTTCTGTACACATTAGCAATATGAGCCCAGGCAAGTGCCCCCTGTCAGTTTTCTAGTAGTTTCAAACTTTTTTAGTCTAGAGGGGAATTTCATCATTAGGGAACTCCTTACATCCATGAAAACACATGTACTTCCTCTTTCAAAAAATATTTTTTTCTTCCTCTCCTTGTTCTTCTTCTTGTCTCCTTTTACACATGCACATGCACATATATACATGCAAACATGCATACATGCATGCAATTAATTATATTATCATATAATTATTATACAGTATTATAGTATGTATACAAATATATTTAAGTTAACTGTATATGTGTGTGTATATGTGTGTGTGTGTGTGTGTGTGTGTGTATGTATTCTTCCCTTCCCTTTCTTCTCATTCTCTCTCCTCATCTTCTTCCTTCTCTGTCTTCATTCTATTCCTTCCTAGAATCCATTTTGAGTCCTTCTGTTGACAAGTTTTATGGGACTCATCTGGGCAACGGGATGAAGACAATGTTTAATCCAGAAAGTGAATATGTTTATGGATGATCAAGTTGAAATGGGAAAGCATTCCATTATTGGTAAATTACACCACTACACTCTTAGCCAAACATATATCCTGATTATGGATGAAATTGTTGCTGTAATATAAAGAATGCTAGATGTGAAGAGGCTGCATTTGGAGTCAGATGACCTATGTTCAAATCCTTTTTCTGCCCCTTACCTTAACTGTGTGTCCTGGGGATTTGCTTTCCTCATCAAATGCAAAATCCTGCACTTAGGTGACCTCTAAGGACTTTTCTGAATTAATATCCAGACTCTAATCCTGGAGTCTGGGAGACCTGGCTTCAAATCCCATCTTTGACAATTACTAGCCATGTATCATTGGGCAAGCCACTTAGAGCTCCTGTGTCCTCCTTTGTATAGGTGGAATAGTCATGGTTTTCGCCCTTACCTCACAGGATAACTGTGAAAGATACTTGTGAAACAATGTGTAAAGGGCTTTGTGAATCCTCAAAAGCTCTATATAAATGTTAACCCTTATTATCATCATGATTATTAATTAAAACTATAAGAATACTTTGGGATGCTAGGTGGTGCAGTGGGTAGGGTGCTGGGCCTGAAGTCAGGAAGATTCATTTTCCTGTGTTCAAATCCAGCTATGTGTCCCTGGACAAGTGACTTAACCCTGTTTGTCTTAGTTCCTCATCTGTAAAATGACCTAGAGAAGAAAATGGCAAATCACGTCAGTATTTTTGCCAAGAAAACCCCAAATGGGGTCACAAAGAGTGGGACACAACTGAAAAATGACTCAACAACATCATACAAATGCTTATAAGTCATATAATTCTGCTTGAAAACTTTTGGATGTTTTCAGGTCATTTCAAAATGTGGAATTAGGCTGAATAGCTGCTTGTTCATTCATGCTTTATCCTTGTTCAGGTTGAAATGATACCATTTAGGATTCCGGTCTCCTGAGGAAGATGTCATTAAAGTAGATGCATAGGACCAGGGATTCCAGGCCAGGAATATTTCTGTAAAGCTGTACTATACCCAGATTACCTGAAAGAGTCAATGAGCATCCCTAAATGCTTATGACCCTTTAAGTACTGAGGAAAACAAAGCTCTTTATTGTCTTTTCTTGATTAGCTGTGCAATTAGATGGGATAAATGGCATAGAAAATTCAAAATAGCTATTAATCTGGTATTATTTGTCCTTGGCTTTAGGAGATACCCTAAGGTGGTGGGGTTTTTCCCCTTCCCAATATACTGCATACTCAGTTGTCTTAATTATATTTTTAAAAAAATCTTACCCAAAAAATTTGAGAAGTCAACTCCCCCTACTCCTTTGCAGAGGTGGGAGCAAAATCCACACCTGTGGAACATTGTGTCTAATGTTTGATTTTTCAATGTATTCATAGGTTTTACTGATTTTTTTTCTCTTCCTCCTTTTTTTTTTCCTTTTTAGTAATTTTTTTTATAAGATATGGCTCTGGGTTGGGGGGAGAAGGGTACAGGGGAAATCTAAGGAATGTAAAAACAAAAAAATATTTTAAAGATAAAATGGGGTGAGATTTCAAGAATCCCTCTGGTTTAAAACTTTGATTTAAAACAAAAATTATTTTTCATTTCTTGACCCCACAGCAATCAGTGGCCAAAAAAAAAAGTGATGGCTGGAGGAGCTTAAGGTAGGGATGGTAACAGAATAGCCTAGAGGAATACTACATATAGTGGGAAAAAATGACCTGCAATCCAAAATGTGGATATACACACAGGTCGTTACAAATTCATTGCCTTCCAGCAGTTAGATTCTTTAAAGTTGGATTAATATGTTTTTCTAATTATTCATTTTGAATTTTTATTTATAGAGTATCACTGCATAGCCAGCAGAATCTCATGACTGTCTCCAATCTTGGAGTCATCTTTGGTCCAACTCTGATGCGGGCGCAGGAAGAGACAGTAGCTGCTATGATGAACATCAAATTCCAGAACATTGTGGTTGAGATTCTGATAGAGCACTATGAGAAGGTATGGCCAAGTATTTGCCTAAAAGGGGCCTTAAAGAATTAGGGAGTAAATGAATGGAAAAAAAAGCCGAGTAGATGAAAATAAAAGTATTTCCTAAAGTCCATACTATGTGCTAAGCACTGTGCTAAATGCTGGGGATTCAAATAAAAAAGCAAAGACAGTCCCTGACCTCAAGAACCTTATATTCTAAGAGGGGACACAGTTACAGGGGAACAGTGGCCAGGGAAAGGAATTTTATTTTGGAAAGTGGCAGGATTGGTGAGTGGAACCACTGGGGAGTATATTAACAAGGCAGGTGGCAAGAACATGCCTGGGAATGGTAAGTTAAGCATAGCCATTGCCCCTTAGGTACAGGGGACCATCTGAGTGAGGCACTCACCAATAGGGATAACAGAGAAGTTATAAAACTTGTTAGAAATGTAAAGAAAGGAGGGATGGTAAGAGCTGTCCTTGTGTGACTTGAAAGGAAACAGAATAGAATCTCTAGACTTTTTCTCCTTACCTTTATCCAAGGGAGACTTTCATTCCTACCAAGGATGGAACAGGAGGTTGGGACCATAGGACTAGAATTCTGCTCTCCTTAGAGAGAGGGTACCAGACTAGAAGCATATCTATTTGTCCACTTAAATATCAGACATCTAGGGAATATGATCAGGTTCAAGCTATCATTTGATTGCTTTGTGATTTTTGGGATGGGGTACCCCATGCTCTATATCCAAGGCTTGATCCTTTCCTCAGCTAATACCAGTTTCACAGTGAACACACAGCAAATAGCAAAGAAATCCATTTATCCAAATCATAACAAAACAGAAAACAGAAAAGGTATACATAGGAGATTACAATACAAAGTGAAGGCACCCTCCGATTGGGAGTGGGGTCAGATCAACCAAGACAGAGGATTCTAAAACTTCCTGAAGTCTCTAGTGTAACAAGCTGGTAATTGGGACATGATGGAGACTGCTGGCTCCTCACATGTCTTTCCAGAGTCTTTTTCTTCAGAAACCTGAAATGGGGATGACATCATCCATCTTCTCTCTTGAAGCTGGAAACCAAAAGTGCCTGAAGTGACTTAATGCTTGAAGGGTCCTGAAGGAGACTGGTGCCCAAGATTCCCAAAGGAGACTGGTGCTGAGGAGTCCTGAAGGAGGACTGAAAGGAGACTTTCCCTTGGAGAGGAAGCTCTCTCTACTCTAGCCAACTCTGCCCTGCCCTTCACAAAGGGCAGGCCTTTTCGTTGTTCAGCTTTCAGTTGTGTCCAGTTCCTCATGTCTCCATAGACGATAGTGCTCCAGGACTTTCTGTCCTCCAGTATCTCCCAAAGACTGTCCAAACTCATGTTCATTGCTTCCATGACACCACGTATCCATTTCATCCTCTGCCATTTCCTTTTGACTTCAATCCTCCCCAACATCAGGTTCTTTTCCAGTGAGTACCATCTTCTCATTAGGTAGCCAAAGTATTTAAGCTTCAGCTTCAGTTTTTGACCTTCCAGTGAATAGCCTGAATTAATTTCTTTAAATATTGATTGATTTGACCTTCTTGTAGTCCAAGGGATTCTGGGAAGTCTTCTCCAGCACCGTAATTTGAAAGCATTGATTTTGTGGCACTCAGCTTTTCTTATAGTCCAGCTCTCAAAGCCATACATTACTACTGGAAAAACCATAGCTTTGACCATACAGACCTTTTTTGGCAAGGTGATGTCTCTGTTTTTTAGAATGTTGGTGGAAACAACTCTCTGGCATGATTCCCTTTTTTCAGAACTAGCTCATTATTTCAGAGGCCCTGAAGGAAAGTGTTAGAAAGAAGTATTAGACTGACTAACAAACTGAAGGTCTATGGAGCCATTGTGCTGACCTCATTGTTGTATGCCTGTGAAACCTAGACAGTATGTCAGTGCCATAACAAGAAACTGAATCGCTTCCATTTGAATTGTCTTAGGAAGATTCTGAAGATCATCTGGCAAGATAAGATACCAGACTCAGATGTCCTTTGTTGATCTAAATTGCCAAACATTCAAACTCTACTGCAGAAAACGCAACTCTGATGGGCTGGCAATGTTTGAATGCCAAATGTGCATTTGCCTAAAAGATTGTTTTATGGAGAACTGACACAAGGCCGGTGCTCACATGGTGATAAGATGAAGAGATACAAAAACACTCTCAGGTTCTCTCTGAAGAAAAACTTTGGCATTGATTGCGAGATGTGGGAAATGGCCAAAGACTGCCCAGTATAGCATACCCACATCAAAGAAGGCACTGTGCTCTATGAGCAAAGCAGAATTGCAATAGCTCAAAAGAAGTATGAGATGCACAAATTTAGAGACATCTCCACTCCAATGTTTATATGGAGCATTTGTGCCCAACCTTTGGTAGAGCCATCTGAGCTTGTATTGGTCTGATCAATTGCAGTCAGACACACTGTACCTTGACACCAACATAGTGATATCATTTTGATCCTTTTTGAGAACAAACAATCATGCTGTCCAGATTCAACTAGCTTTCCTTTCATGGAGCAAGCATCTTTTAAATTCACGGCTGTAGTAACCATCTGCAGTGATCTTTGAGCCCAAAAATATAAAATCTGACACTGCTTCAACTTCCTCTCCCTCTTTTTGCCAGGAAATGATGGAACCAGTTGCTAAGACCTTCATTGTTTATGTTAAGCTTCAAACCAGCTTTTATACTTTCCTTTTTCACCCTCATCGAGAGGGTTTTTAACTCTTCACTTTCTTCCATCAGAGTGGTATTGTCTATATATCTGAGATTGTTGATATTTCTCCTGGCAACCTTAAATCTGACTTTTGCTTCATCTAGCCTGGCATTTTGCTTCATGTACTCTGCATATTAGTTAAATAAATAAGATAAAAATATTCACCATTAGGGAGAGAGGCCCATACCAATGAGTTGGTAACAGGGGTTACTATGAGAGAGGAGGTTTGTCTTTATTGAATTATTGAGCTGTTTCTTGTGAGCTCATTCCTATGAGGTTTGAAGAGACTCAAGTTTTATACTCATTTCTTTACGTCTCATTTCTCCATCTTGCTTTTACTGGGATTAATCATTAAACTTTCCTCAGGAATGCTCACAAATCAGTTTCCTTTTCCTGTTTCATTTACTTTCCAAGGTTTTCTGATTGGTATTTTACCATTGGTATTGCAGTTTTATTCTTTGGGGAGGGGAGCATTCTAATTTTGCTCTTTGCTTTTTCAGCATTCCCCTACTGCTTCCTTCTCTCTGGGATAAGACTCTTTATTATCTTGTTATTCTTGCCTTAAGGAAACAAAAACAATCTATACATCTTTAAGGCATCTGTCTGTTAAATTCCCAGAGAAAAAAAATTTAAAGAATGTGATGCAGGAATGACAGTAGAAACAGGAAATATACTTATTCTCTATCCTAGGCAAAGTTGTCCTTTGTGAATCAATAATAGTTAATTGTTCCTGAATAAGATTGGGCCATTTTGTTCTGAGTCATTATTGTACTGTATTCATTTTTCTTCCCTTTTATTATTCTTCTTGGGTATGTGCCTACCACTCCTAACCTAAGACTAACTAAATTGTCCTTCTAAGATTTTATTCAGTGGAGGAAAAAAAGGAGAGAGAGAGAGAGAATGTTTCCGCCACCTATCCCAAGAGCCCATGTTTGGAGTATAAAGGCAAGAGTCTGGTAACAATCAGTTCTTTTTAGGTAGGACTAGATCTCTAAGGTTCTGTTTTTCAACCAGAAAGTCTGAAGACCTTGTATCAGATCTCAGCTGTGCCACTTACTAGCTCTGTGATCTTAAGCAAGTCAAATAACCCTTCGAGCCCAGGTTTCCAAGTTTGCGAGATGGCCTGCCTGCTTTCTGACCTGATGTGTATAAATTCGGGACCTTGGTGTGTGACCTTGGGCAAGATGTGGACCTCCACATCTTTTGGTCTCAATTTCTGTAAAATTCAAGGATTGAAATGGATAAGCTCCAAGACAATTCCTCCTCTAAATCTATGATCCTATATTCCAGAATATAAAGGCAGCATGGTAGAGTAGTTAGAGTGCTGGAGCTATTGTCAGGAAGCTCTGGGTTCAGACCCAACCTATGGCAATGTGTAGCTATTTGACCACAAGCAGGGTGCTGAATTCCTCTGAGCCTTCTCATCTATAAAATGGGGATAAGAACTATGATGATGATGGATCAATAAACATTTATTAAGCATCTACTGTGTACCAGGCATTGTGATAAGCCCTGGGGATACAAAAAGAGGCAAAAGACAGTAATGATGATGATGATGATAATGATGATGATATCTACCTCATAGTGTTGTTGTGAGGCTGAAATGAAAAAATGCTTGTATACCTTATGTAAATTACATGAGTATCAGTGGCTTTTATTATTATTATTATAATTATATAATGACATGTTTCTGTCATGAGCAGGTGCATTGTGTAGTGGAAGAAACACTGTCCTAGGTCAGAGACTTAGGTTTGAGCTCAAGTCTCTATGCTGGTTAACTCTATATCAGTCAGTTCATCTCTTCAAGCCACAGTTTACTCATCTGTCATTTGGGGATAATGGTACTTGCCCTATGAATATACAGAATTGTTGTGTTATAAAAGTGTTACAACAGTGTGATGTAAGTATATCATAAAACATTACATAAATGTAAGCTGCAATCGTGATTACTGTTCCTATATAAAAAAAATCTATGTATAAATTAGACTGTTCCCATCTACAACAAAGCTGAAAAGCAAAGATGTTCCCCAAAGAATCCTTAAGCTTGTAGAAAATATAAAGTGTCACAAAAGAAGATTTTCTTTTTCCTTTTGGATTGTACAGCACTGATCTCTTCTAGTCCTGGAAGGGCAAAATAGAATCTGCAGCTTATTTTGTCCATGTCAATATAAGTCAAAGGATGAAATATATCAAATTGTGATCAAGTTTCCAGAATTACAAGAGAGTATTGTTAAAAAAAAAATATATATATATATATGTATATATATATATATATGTAGTATAGATATACTTGAAAAACCTCCAAAGTTAACAGTTAAGAGATAAAAGCAAACATCCCCCAAACTCAGAAAGCCAATGAAGGGCTGTCGTAGATGTCATGATCAGCACCAAGGGGATACTTTTTTATACCTTACAAGGTACCAGTGCACTAGGGCATTGGTATATGATAATCTTAACTGACACTGACATAAGACTTTGAAGCTTTCAAAAGTGCTTTTATACATATTGCCTCATTTATATTTCCCATTAACTCTGTGAGGTGAGTACTTTTACAGTCGTTATTATCTCCATTTTATAGATGAGGGACCTGAGGTCCTAGGAGGTTAAGGGATTTGCTGTAAGTTGCACAGCTGGGAGGGGTCCCAGGCAGCTTTGGAATGCAGCTTTTCCTGATTCCCAGTCTAGGGCTCCATCCATTACCCAATAGTGAATTTAGGGAGTGTGCAATTATATTAATAACTAGTCTTAATGAAAGTGTTCAAATTCATTTATAAGATTGTATTTCCATTGAACCTGCATTTATTTTTCTTCCATATAGATATTCCATACTGCACCAGACCCAAATATTCCTCTTCCTCAGCCTCAATCCCGGTCGGGGTCCAGAAGGACAAGAGCCATTTGCCTTTCGACAGGCTCAAGGAAGCCCAAAGGGAGATATACCCCATGCCTGGCAGAACCAGATAGTAAGTGTGACGTAACCTTTCAAAATGTTTTCTACTTTTCTAGTCCAGTCTTTCATGGCTCTATGACTCTCCTGTTGGTGATTAGTGAGAGAGAAAATGTTCTTGCCAGCTCTTAGACTCTCTCTTTCTCCTATTCTACATTTATAAAGTCCCGGTCAGCATGTAGTATCTAGGTGCCAGGGACAAGCATATTAGACCAAATTCATTACCACTGCAAAGGGAAAAAAAAAACAACCATTCTTCTCAATACTCTTTCTTCTGAAGCTGTGATTAAGTACATCAGGTGCTTTCTCTTCAGCAGGTTTTGTCCTGGTGCAGAAGTGGCTGGAAAGAAAGTCTGACTGAAGCAGTCATTTTCCTTCCTCTTTTTACATTATGTTCTTAAAGCCTCATCTCTTGGGTATCATAAAAAGCTTAAACACACACACACACACACACACACACACACACACACACACACACACACTCACTCACTCACTCACTCACTCTGACTACCTTAGTGTACTGAGCCAAGCACCAAGGTGATTTAGAAAGTTAGCTTTAGCCAGTGATAGGTAGTACAAAAAACAAACAGTTGGAGAAGAGGTTGCTCTTCTCATTTTATTTTAATTTTTGTTTTATGCCTCTCTCCCCCTCCAAACCCCAGTTGCTAGATTTGACGGAGTTTTATAGAATTGCCAATGTGACCTAATGGAACTAGGAGTCAGGATATTTGACTTTGAGTTCCATGTCAGACATTTATTATGAGGCATTAGGCCAGTCACTGACTCATTCTGAGGCTCAGTTTCTTCATCTATAAAATGGGAATAGTAATAATTACTTACATTTATATCGCTCCTTAAGGTTTGCAAAGGACTTTCCTCACACAAATCCATGAAGATTTATACTTTGCAAAACTTAAAGTGCTATTTTGGGCAGGTAGGTGGTTCAGTGGTTAGAGTGCTGGACCTGAAATCAGGAGAACTTCTCTTTCTGGCTTCAGATACTTATTAGCTATGTGATCCTGGGCAAGTCACTTAACTCTGTTTGTCTCAGTTTCCTTATCTGTAAAATGAGCTGGAGAAGAAAATGGCAAACCACTCTAGTATCTTTGCCAAGAAAACCCCAAATGGGGTCACAAAAAGTTGGACAGGACTGAAAATGACTAAACAACACAAAAGCAGCTATTTAAATGTGAGTAGTTGTTAATTATGGAAAGGTAGCAAGGTGCAGTGGACAGAAGGCTGTACTTGGAACCAAGAAAATGTGGGTTCAAGTCTTGCTTGTGAAATAGACCCTTTGTGTATCTATGGGCAAGTCATTGAAGCTCTCAGTGCCCCCAGACAACTCTGTTAAGATTATTCATTACAAACAAGTTGCTGGTCTGCATCAGTGGAGGGAGCTTCTATATGTACCTGGAGTTCCCTAGGTCAATTATAGACACAATCAATAATTTAAATGGATTCAGCAGATACTTAATAAGTACTTACTATATTTAAGACACTATGTTAAGTGTTGAAGATACAAGAGAAGATGACCCAGTCCTTGCTATTAACAGGGGGATGGGAGGAGGAGGGTGTAGGGGAGGAAATAGAGAAATATACAGCACATACACATAAAAGTGTGATTCAATGGATGGTTTGATAGAGGGAAGGGGAGAAATTCAGAAGAAATACTCTCAGAGCTTCAGTTTTTATCATATTTTCCTGCAACATCAAAGAAAACTCCAGTAAAATAGCTTTCGTGTTGCAGAATTGTTAGCTACAGAAAATGAATTTGCCCTTTGTGAAGTTGGTGCAGCTTTGAATTTGCCTGCTGATGGCTAATAGTGCCATTAAATGAAAGGGATTCCTTTTATCCTATCGTAATAACACTTCTTGGAAGGGGGTGGAGAGGACAGGACACAAAGAAAACGACAACAACAAAAGATGTCATTAATCCATTCCTTTTGCCTCCCTATTCAGTCATCAGTGAAACTCTTTTCCCATTGTTCCATTACTCTGGGGTCTTGCTGTCGGGGCAAATTTTGATCTTACTGTGTTTGGTCTTATGGTCTGTAAATACTTGAGAAAATATATGTGTGTGTGTGTGTGTGTGTGTGTGTGTGTGTGAATATGTATGTATATGTACACACACACATACATACATACACATACATACATGCATACATACATTATATATATACATAGATTATATATATACACACACACATACATTATATATATGTGTGTATGTGTATATATATATATATATATATATATATATATATATATATATATATATGTGTGTGTGTGTGTGTGTGTGTGTGTGTGTGTGTGTATGTATATATATATATGTGCCATGGAAGAAATGTAGCTACCCATTCCACTTTTTAAAATACCCTTTCTTTATTGGGAAGAACTATCAATAACAGCTGTAGGCCCAGAATTTCAGTGACTGTAGTAGTCATCATCAGCAAGAAAAGGTACAGCTTTAAGTAGTGCTATTATTAACAGAAAGCTTTCCTTTTTTTTCCCTCCACCACAGGTGATTCATACAGCAGCAGCCCAGATAGTACACCTATGGGTAGCATAGAATCACTCTCCTCTCACTCATCAGAACAAAATAGCACTACTAAGTCAGCTTCTTCCCAGCCACGGGAAAAATCTGGAGGCATCCCCTGGATTGCATCTCCACCACCTTCCAATGGACAGAAAAGCTCAGGGCTCTGGACAACTAGTCCAGAATCAAGTTCTAAAGAAGATGCATCCAAAACAGATGTGGAATCTGACTGTCAGAGTGTTGCATCAGTTACTAGCCCAGGGAACATTTCCCCACCAATAGATCTGGTCCAAAAGGGGCCTTATGGACTATCAGGACTGAAGAGATCTGCAGCTTCCTCCCTCAGATCGATCACTGCAACTGAAGGTAAGCAATGCAAAGCTTACACTTTTCTCTTGTCGCATCATCAGTTGCTTGGTTATTCAGCGTGATTATGTAAGGGGAAAAGCTAAGAAGTTAAAGGACTAATGATGCCTATTAACTTTGCTCATGTTAACATTTGTGCGTTTATAAGAACCCTTTTACATTGTGACTTTTTGGCTAAATTTCTCTATCATGGTGAGGTGATACCATTTTAAAAATTGCTGTAGTTTGTGATCTCCCCAAGGATGGTCTACTGTGCACTGAACATTCTGTACATTTCCATTTTGGTTCAAAGAAAAACATCCCCCTTTTTTTTGTAACAAACATGCACTGTGATATTAGCTTTATTTTGTCTTTTTGATTTTGGGGATTTTCTTTATAGGAAATAAAAGCTACAGTGGATCCATTCAAAGCTTAACTTCCATAGATTCCAAAGAGACACCCAGAGCGCCACCAAATCCTGACCTTCCTCCAAAAATGTGTAGGAGATTGAGGTTAGATACTACGTCAAGCAATGGATATCAGCGCCCTGGTTCAGTGTAAGTGATAAAGATCTTAGGATTCGTTTTTAATTGTTTAATCTCCATTTTAATACTAAGTAGCATAGTTAGGTTAGCAAGAACACTAGGAAACCCTGAGATCTGAGGTTGTATCCAAGCTGAGTAACCCTGGACAAGTTACTTTCTTTCTCTTCTTGTGATCTGCTATAGAATGGATAGAGTGATCTATGTGCCTTTGCAAGACTATTTTGGAAACTAGTTTATGATTAAAAATGACTGTGGTACAGCAGGTAGAGTTCTGCACTTGGAATAATGACTGCCTGGGTGGGTTGTGATCTGCATTGCTTCTCGTTCTGACAAAATCACAGAGATGTAATTTAGAATAAATATTATGAATGTAAATTTGGGCAATAACATTTTGAAGGTTAGGTTAGGATTAGAGGATATAAGACTATGTAGTGAAACACTTTTGAGTTCCTTAGGAGACAGGTATAAATTCAGGCAGGTTAATAGACAACTACACAGTTCAGTAAGACATTCTGATACTGATTTGTATTTAGTGTAATGTCATTCTTATGGTTTAAGTTGCTGCCTCTCACCTGAACAGAGGGGCATAAACTGTTTATTATTTAAAACTGACTCCCACCACCATCCTTTTCTCTACTATTTTTATCCCCCAGAAGAAGATAGGTGGTGCAGTGGTTAGCGTGCTGAGACTGGAGTCAGGAAGATCTGAGTTCAAATCCAGCCTCAGATACTTTCTAGCTATGCCACCCCATTGCCTTAGTTTCCTTAACTGAGGGATCGTAACAGTACTTTCCTCCCAGCGTCGTTCTGATGATCATATAAGATAATACTTATAAAGCACTTAGCACAGTTGCACATTGACACTCAATAAATGCTTGTTCTCTCCCCTTTCACTGTAAGGTACCATAGCAGCCATGACCAGCTCACCCTACTCTGAGCTGTGTAGCACCATCTTGGGCCACCTACCTCTGCCACACCCAAAACACTCACTCTCTCTCTCTCTCTCTCTTTTTCTCTCTCTCTCTCTCTCTCTCTCTCCCTCTCTCTTCCTTCAGTGTAATAATCAAGGCCATATTTCATTTAGCTCATTCACCCATATTTTCTTGCCTAGGTATAAATACTTTTTTGAAAACAGTTCCTGACAAAAGCACACTCCTTTTCGCAGAGGGAAAAAAAGTGAGTTGGGGTGGGAGAAAGGAAAAAATTATTAAAAATATGAGGATTACTTGAAATGAATTATTTAGTGAATGAATGGGTGGGAGAGGTAAGGCTGCTATGGAGTATGATATAGGAAGAAATTAATGATTCAGAGTGTTGGTGAACAAAAAAAAAGAAGAGGAAGAGTGAGGCAGATGCCAAAAGAAGGAAAGAAGAGACAAAGGAGGGAGAGAGGGCAGGAGGAAGGGATACAAAGAAGGAGGAAGAAAGAAAAAACAAAGAAGAATGGGAAAGGATGAAAGAGAAAGGGGAAAGAAGGAGAAAACTGAGGCCTATCTGGTTTTTATTACCTGAGGCTTTGCTGAAAGTAACGGTTCTGAGTATTCAAGCTTTCTTACAGTTGGCAGTGAGTTACAACTTCATATCAGGAGAATTTATCTTCTTATAGTTTAAAATCTGCCTCCCATGATGGCTTGGGATTTTTCTGGTCAAGCAAGCACTTACTTATATGTTTACTTTATAATACAGTCAAAAGAGCCCTGGTTTTGGAAGCAGCGGACTTGGTTTCAGGCCTGTCCTTATAAACTACGAAGTGACTTTGGCAAGTCACAATAAGCAATTTGGGCCTCAGTTAAGATTGGACCAAATGACTTCTGAGGTTTCTTTCACCTCTAACTCTGTGATCCCATGATTCTGCTTTAGTAGCCAGAGGAGTAAGGTGACTTCAAGTTCTGTGTCCATTGTATAGAAAACCATGCCAAACACATTGAGTCATTTGCATAAAGGCAGTAATTGAGAGGCTCTGAGAGGCAATGAGCTTGCCAAGGGAAAGAGCAGAGAGAGGGACGGTTAGCAAAGAAAGCAGACTAGGAGCATCTTGGTAGTTGGAAAGAAAATCAGGAGAACATGTCGCTAAAGCTAAGAGAGGAGTCAGTATCGTAGGGAGATGTGGTCAAACAACAAAAACAGCAGAGAAGTTAAATGGATGAGGACTGAAAACTGGCCATTGGTTTTGGTAATTGTGGGAACATCTTGACCTTAAAACATTTTCAGTAGAAACGTTGAAGCTCATCCTTTGTTCTGTGCTGGCCAGAAGAGGGGAGACTGTCTTTTCAATTCTTTTGGAATCTTCTCTGAAATAATCTTCAAAAACACCTTCAAATTCTGTCTCCTCCACTATGAATTTCTTCTGTATACATACATACATATACCTACATGTATATGCATAGATTTACATGCATGCATACATGTATACATATATTGTATATGTATATATAAAATCTTTGATGATTATCTTTGTAAAGATTAGCCTCATTAGTATCTTGATGTAAATATCATAATTATGTATAAATTTTACATGTATATGCATGGTGTGTATACATCTGTGTACACATATACCCATATATACATATACATATACACAGTCTCTATTTGTGTGTGTGTGTGTGTGTGTATACGTGTAGATAGATTTAGTCAGGTCTAACCACTTCCTCTCTTCTTCCTCACATAGTATACCACGTACTAATGTTAACAGACTCCAAATATGGTGATTTCACTACTAGTTTTAAAAAATTGATTACTATAAAAATATTGACAAAAATTTTCCACTTAGAGTATGTTTTGCCCTTCTGGTTTCATGTGCAAAGACAATCAAGCTGATCTAGTTGGATATCACACAAAGTTTTCTATAGGCTTTTTTTCTCAAATGCATTATTCTGTTTTGTGAGGTAGTGCTACTGTCTGAATTTTGTTTTCCTTTTCCACTATGTTTTGTAAATGAGTTTGTGTTGCCCTTGGCTGTCATATCTCTTTACTAAACAGCATGAAAATCAAGAGTCTGCTGGTCCCAATGGTTTCTGGACCTCCTTTGTTCTTATTGTGGCAATTGTTTTCATAGATAATTCCAGATTCATAAAATTTCAGAATAAGAATGGACCTCAGTGGCAAAGTAGTTTAACTCACTTTGGAAAAAGAGTCCCTTCTATACAACATTCATGTAATTGGTGTTCCAGTCTTTGCTTAAAGACCCCCTTAAGCAACCTATTTCATTCTTGGGTAGTTCTAATAATAAAGACATTTTTCCTTCTTTACTCTGACATCAAGCTTAAAATGTATTTCTTTGCAACTTCAGTTGAGGACAGTCAGGACAATTCTATTCTTTTTTCCATAGGCAGCCCTTCAAGAACTTGAAGACAACTATCCCATGCTCCTTAAGTCTTTGCATTAGCATGAGATGCTTCACCATCCTGGTTGTCCTTCTCTTGACACTTTCTAGTTTTTTATTATACTTCCTAAAATTTGTTAATTTCTCTGTGTCAGCCTTTGCAATTTATGTCAGACCATAGGCTACAATCATCTTTATGGAGTCTCTTTTTAAAGTCAGATATATAAATGTCCTATGAAATGAAGCTTCTTGTTGCTTTTAGTGTCACTATAAAGCCAGCTCTGCCCATCTCTCTTGTCTTCCATCTGAGGAGAATATACTAGCCATCCTTCCATTTAAATATAGCTCCTTTATGTATTTTGGTTTCTTATTCAACTTCATTATCATTATCAGCATTGGCATTGATAGCATTTAAATAGTGCCTTAAGATTTGCTAAGTTTTACAAATATCTTATTTTATGCTCACAACAAGCTTGGGAGGTAGGTGCTATTATTATAATCCCCATTTTACAGATGAGGAAACTGATGCAGACAGGTTAAGTGACTTGCCCAGAGTCACACACCTAAGTAAGTGTGGGAGGCTGGATTGAATTCAGGTAGGTCTTTCTGACTCTAAGTCCTGCTTTCTATCTATTGCATTACCTAGCTGTCTCATTTGAGTTCCTTGAGATAAGGAAATGCCTTTAACTTTTCTTTATATTCCTAGCACTTAGCACAGAGCCTGGAATAGAGAAGGTGCTTAATAAATGCTCATTGACTAACTGACCCACGTGTTAACTGCTTGTTAAGTAGTCAGAGATATGATATTAAGGGTGACAACAGTTAAATTAATGTAGTCCCTGGACCTGTATGTAAAGTCTTCAACTTTGTAGAACCTATCATCTTATCAACTTTAATTTAGACTTACCTCCATGGTGGGATGGAGTAGGACTTTTGTTAAGGGCTTTCTCCTTGTAAAAACAGGTAATTGTTGTAGTTATCTATGCCCTGAGCTTATTCTCATTTCTTTTCACTTTACTTCAAGTAAGACCATTATTTATGTATTTAGAATCCATGTCATTTTCCTTCATAATTAAAAACTATTGTTAATTAAACTTCATGAATTTGCTAGTCCATGTTTCCTGAGATTATCTATCAGTCTGTCTGGCTGTCTATCTACATACACATACATATATACACATATATTTCTATCCTAATAACCAGACCTGACATTAAAATTATGAGAAATAATTTGAAGAACAGTTCCTGCTAAAACATAGAGTTAAAGGTAGTACTTGCACTTTGAACTTCCTCCCACCTTCTGAGTCCATAAGGTCCAACAAATATTAGATCCACTAAGATAACACTGATGGTGATTTGGGTATCTCTTTATCTTTCCCCAACCTAGCATAATGCCTTACATAAAGTAGGAAATTATTAAAGGGAAGAGTAGATAAATGAATTAATAAAGAACATGCTCCAAGAAGGAGATCTTTACCATTCTCAATAGTTATTGGAGAGAGGAAAAATGAAGTTAAAAGAAGAACCCATGAAAGAAGCAAGAAAAAATAATAAAAAAAATTCATTTGGAAAAACAAAAAGTCAAGAAGATCAAAGGAAATAATGAAAAAAAATGTAAAGAAAAGGGGTTTAGCTGTACCAGATTTTAAACTATATTATAAGACAGTAATTATCAAAATTCTCTGGCCCTGGGTAAGAAATAGAAAGGTAGTAGATGAATGGAATAGAGCAGACATACAATTTACAACAGCAAATAAACATAATAACCTTGTATTTGACAAGTGTAAAGACTTAAGATTTGGGAATAAGAATCCATTATTTGGTAAAAACTATTGGGAAAATTAGAAAGAAGTATGGCAGAAACTGGGCCATACTTACACCATTTATGAAGATAAGGTCAAAATAGATACATGATCTACATTTAAAGAGAGATTTTACAAGAAAATTAGAAGAACATGGAACATATTACTTATCAAACTTATGGATATGCAACAATTTATGAATTAACAAAAGACAGAAAACAGTTATAAAATGGATAATTTCAATTACATTAAATTAAAACATTTTTATGCAGATAAAACATATATAGTCAAGATCAGAAGGGAAGCAAAAAATTGGGGAAATTTTTGTGGACAGTTTATCAGAGGTCTCATATCTAAAATATATAAAGAACTTGTCAAATCTGTAAGCATATGAATCATTCCCCAGTTGATAAATGGCCAAAGGATATGAAAAGGAAGTTTTCCAATGAGGAAATCAAAACAATTTATAGTCATGTGAAAAAATGCTGTCATTATTGATTAGAGAAATGCAAATTAAAACAGCTTTGAGATAATCATTTTACAACTACCATATCGGCTATAATGATATAGGGGAAAGTGACAACTGTTGGAAGGGATGTGGAAAAATTGGGACTTTAATTCATTGTTGGTAGAATTGTGAACTGATCCAAGCATTTTGGAGAACAATCTGGAATTGTGCCCAAAGAATTATTAAACTGTCTATACCCAGCAATACCACTAGTTGGTCTATTTCCAAAGATAATTAGGGAAAAAGGAAAAGAACCTTTGTGTTCTCCAATGTAAATAGCAGCTCTCTTTGTTGTAACAAAGAACTGGAAATTGCAGGGACACCCATCAGTTGAGGAATGGCTGAACAGGTTGTGGTACGTGATTGTGATGGAATATTACTATGCGATTAGAAATGATGAACTCAGTGATTTTAGAAAAAAAAACATGGAGAGATTTGCATGAAATAATGAAATAATGAAAAGCAAAATGAGCAGAACCAAGAGAACACTGTATATGGTAACAGCAATATTGTTTTACAAATGACTTTGAGCGAATAAGTTATTTTAACTATTATAAATACCAAAAGTAAGTACAAAGGATATATGAAGAAAGATGCTATCTGCATCCAGAGAAAGAATTGATAATTACAAGTATGTATAGAATAATTTTACACATCTACACACACACACACACACACACACACACACACACACACACACACACACACACGTCTAATGGTAGCCATCTCTAGGGCAGGGAGGAAGAAAGAAAAAAGGGGGGAAAAGAAATTTGTAGGCCAGTTTTGTTGTATATTTGAAAGGAGTAGCAAGTTGTGCATAGTAGATTTGCAGTTTCACATGCAATCATCTTTTTTTTATTGTACTATGTTATGGAAATGCTTGTTTTATTCCAGAAATAAAAAAATATTTTTTTTAAAAAGGAAGCTAGTGGTTTATAGCAACCCAGTGTTCATCTCGTACCCTGAAAGATTGGGCCAAAAATGTCATTTATAGTTAGTTAGCAATATGCTTCTAATTTATAGCACTGTTTCACTTAAAGTTCATGGTACTCTGTTCACATTTTTGTATTCACAACAATTTTTTTTTAAATGATGCAGCAGAAACTTATGATGATCTTGAATGATTTCCGGGACAGATAGTAAAAGAGTTACCTTCGAAAAGCAAATTTAAAACATGTGTTTTTGCTTCATTTTCAGAGTGGCGGCTAAAGCCCAACTGTTTGAAAGTGCTGGTTCACTTAAGCAGGTTTCTGCTGGACGGTAAGTTCTCTAAATATAATATCTTATTATATTAATAAAGAACTTTAGCAATGCTGACTTGCTAAAATTATTAATAACCATTCACTTAACTGCTGTGCCTCGCTGTTTATCCAGCTACAAAGTACTTGTGCTTAGATAATTCAGCAAGTTTATTGTGGAAAAATTAAGTCAGTTATACTCAGCTTTTTGTTCCTCAGGCATAACCTGCCTGTTTCTTTTACTTCTATTCTTTAAAATGCTGGCCTTCTTGCTGTTCATCCCACATGACATTCCACATCTTGATTCCTTTGCTTTTCATTGACTGTCCCCATACCTGGAATGCTCTTCCCCTCACCTCACTTCCTGGCTTCTTTCAAGATTCAGCTTGAATCCCACTTCCTGCAAGAAGCCTTTCCTTGTCTCTAATTCTGGTGCCTTATGTCTGAGGTTACTTTCCATTTACATGTTATGTATCTTGTATGTACATAATAGTTGCTTCCACAATCTTTTTCTCACTAGAACCTGAGCTCCTTGAGGGCAGGGATTCTGTTTTGTTCTTTCTTTATATTCCTGGCACTTAGCACAGAGCCTGTCATGTATTAGGCACTTGATAAATGTTATGTAACAGAGCGATTGCCCTAAAGAAGGGCAATGTCAAGGAATGATCAAATTACCGAATAATTGCACTCATTTCACACACCAACAAAGTTATGCTTGATTCCGCAAGTGAGGCTTCAGCAGTACGTGAACTGAGAATTTCTCGAAGAGCAAGCTAGTTTTCAAAGAGGCAGAGGAACAAGGTACCAGATCGCCAACATTGCTGGATTATGGAGAAAGCAAACTTCATTGACTACCTTAAAGCCTTTGACTGTGTGGATTACAACAAAATGTGACAAGTTCTCAAAGAGATGAGAGTACCAGATTATCTTGTTTCCTGAGGAACCAGTATTTGAGCCACGAAGGAACAATTAGAACCAAACATGGAACAGTTTATTGGTTTAAGGTCAGAAAAGGAGTACAACAAGGCTTTATATCATCACCTTATTTATTTAACCTATATGCAGAGAACAGCATGAGAAATGACAGACTGGATGAATCAAAAGCTGGAATTAAGATTGCCAGGAGAAATATCAACAATCTCAGATATAAGACAATACCAGTCTGGTGGCAGAAAGTGAAGAGGAATTAAGAAGCCTCTTGATGAGGGTGAAAGAGGAGAGTGTCAAAGCTGGTTTGAAAAAATAAAAATCTTGACAACAGCTCCCATCACTTCCTGGCAAATAGAGGGAGAAGAAATGGAAGCAACATCCAATTTTATATTCTTGGGCTCAGTAATCACTGCAGATGGTGACTGCAGCCATGAAATTGAAAGACGCTTGCTCCTTAGAAAGAAAGCTATGGAAAATCTGGGCAGCATACTAAAAAACAGAGTCATCACCTCTCCAACAAAGGTCCATGTAGTCAAGGCTATGATTTTTCCAGTAGCAATGTATGGCTGTGAGAGTTGGACTACAATGAAAGTTGAGCATTACAGGACTGACACTCTCAAATTGTGATACTGAAGAAGACTTTTGAAGAAGAGAGTAAGGAGGTCAAATCAATCAATACTTCAAGAAATTAATTCAGGCTATTCACTGGAGGGTCAAATACTGAAGCTGAAGCTTAAATGCTTTGACCATATAATGAGAAAGAAGATGGTACTAATCGGAAAAGACCCTGATGTTAGAAAAGATTGAAGGGAAAAGGGGATGGCATAGGACAGGATAGGATAATGTCATGGAAACAATGAATATGAACTTGGACAGACTTTGAGAGAGAGTGGCTATTAGAAGGACTTGGAGTACTATGGTCCAGAGAGTCAGGAAAAGTTGGACACAATTGAAAAACAACAACAACAATGGTGTGATTAAAGTAGAGAGATACACATCTGTCCAGAATCAGTGGGGAAAGAGGTATTCCACATAAGTGAATTTTCCTGATAAACTAGAACATTTTCTCTCTAAGTTCCATGTGTGTGTACATATATGTATGTATGTAAATGTGTGTATGTAACATTTCACCTTTTTTATGAAAAGATTTTTCTAAAGATTATTGCACACTTAATTAAACATGATATAAAACATTTTAAAGCTTTCTTGCTAACTCAGGGTCATCTTTATTAATGCCAGTTATTATATTCTACCATTATTAAAATGATAACCTCCTAGGTTTTTGCTATTTTTCCTTGTACTCACTGGCTTAGACTACTAATCTTTTCAAGTTCTTGCATCTACTGTTTTATGATTTTTTTTGTCCTTTCCCTTACTCTTAAGCTGTTCATCATTTTTTTTTCTTGCTGTCATTGCTTCTACCACTAGAAGCCCATTATGACCCTGTTCTTCCTATTAATTTGCACTTCTAATATGTGGGTTAGAAATGAAATTGAATTATGGTAGTAATTAAATAAGAATGAATAAGTTGTAAGTCAGAACCTGAGGAATTCTCTTCTGATTAAAGTACACAAATCTGTTATATAGACTTTGCCACAGTGCCTTTCTTAAATTTTTTTGCTAGGTTCTTGGCTGTGTTCTAGATATTTGAGATTGTCAAATAAGTGGCCCAAGTATAAGTGTTATGTTATTGTCTTGTGTTTATTATCCAACATAATCCATTTCCATCTGTCCACTAATATTGTATCCCTTAACCTTCTCTTGGTCATGACCATAAATCTTTTCTGTGTAGTCAGTTGTATTAAATTATTTTGTCAACCCATATAAAAGTTTTCTTTCATTCTCTGTATTTGACTTGCCTTGTGGAGCAAGGCAAGCATCACAAATATAATTGTGGGAGAGCTTGATTCTAAGACCAGGGTATGGGGATTCAGATTTACCTTTAAATATGAAATATCTGTGTAATTCCATTTGAAGTTCTTAACAGTTTTGGGGGGAACCTTGGTCTGCAATTTAGATTCACCACCAGATGGCGATATTTTATTAGGTTGCACTAACTGGAAACGGGTGTCTGCAAATGGGATATAGAATAATCATAGAAATGAGACAAAAGCTTTAAGAAAATATTCCCTCTATTCGTATATTCAATCATAGGGTTATAATATAATGGAGATTATTATGATAAATGTGGCTTTAAACAAACCGCTATAGTGTGAGAGAAAGAAGATTCGACTAAGAGAGGAGACTCAAATTCTAGGGTTTTGTTCTGCAACTATAAATGTTGGACATACCACTTAACCACTATGGGCATCATTTTCTGTTTTGGGAAATGTGAAGGTAGGACTGGATGACCTCTGACACTCTTCCTAACCTTTAGTTTTTATGATTTGCTGTAAATGTGCTTTTATTTCCTAATTACGTACTTTGGTACTTCAGTGGCATGAGTATAAACTACAGACCATTCATGGCTTCTTATCCTGTTCTATTCTTGTCCTGTAAATCTCCCTTAGAGATCTAACCTAACCACTGAATGCCTTCCTACAGTCCATTTATTAAATATTTTGTGCATACCACTGTAGTACTTGGGTCTTTCATGTGTTGTGCTTTACTCTTTTTGCCTGATCACCAAGTTTCTCAACCATTTTCACGTATTTGAAAGAAAGAGGGATTATACTTATTTTTGGTCCCCTGGGGCAGAACTATGAAGAACAGAGTGGTTATGGGAGTTTTCAAAGAGAAAAATTTAAGCTTGATTTCACCTCTAACAATTAGAGCTCTCCATTTAATAAACCCTGAAAATTTGTTATCCCACTTGTACCTAAAGAACTTTAGTAACAAGGAGCTGGCTACCCTATAAAGAAACCCAGGAACATCTGATTAGCTTAGAAAGTAACCAAAATTTGTTATTCTTATAGCAATGACTCTATATATCCAAGTTCTTCCAGATATATAATAGTCATAGTTCATAGAGAACAATTTTCCTTTTAAAAAAACATTATTAAGGAACATTTAGATTTGTTCATTTAATTAGAGGGTTAACTAGTATTTATTGAGGGTTTACCAAGTTCAGTTTCTCACTTAGCTGAAGTATGATAGGCTAGGGTTTTTGTGGGGGATTTTTTTTTTGGATATTCTTCCCAATATTACCCTAGATAAAAACAAGTATCTTATACTCAGATTCTTTAGATCTTAGTTTTTGGACCTCCAGTCAAATTTTAAAAAGCTAAAAGCTTTATTCAACTGAGGGCCTAGCTTCTTGTCCATCTGTGTTGCCACTCTAAGATATGTATTGAAGGACAGCTCAGTACACTATTAATCTACCTTTTTGAAATACTATGAGAAATACGAATTCTTTATCATTGTGAATTGCTAAGATCATCTCATTGAGAGTGTCCTAGAATTTACTGGGGCTTCAGGTCATCTACACAATATCATTTGAATGTAGGAGTATTTGGAGGACCCCTCACCATCACAAACAAATTCCTCTTTCATTTGGATTGTTTGCAAGAAGTCTCCTATAACATCAGTAAATGCTTTTAGTGAGTGTGGTGGCAGCAATATCTTAACCTTTGCCCCCTTGCAAGTTAGGCTAGTTTTTCCTTAAATGGTATTGACCATTTATTAATTGGGGAATAGATCTTATGTTTATAAATTGAAATGAGACCAAATTAGAGTAACTTGCTGCAAAGATTTTTTCCCAGTTAACAACATTGGTTGTGTTTGTGCAAAAATGTTTTAAATTTTATGCAATCTGTGATCCTCTCTATTCAAGAGTCATGAAATCTTCCCCTGCCTTTCCTGTAGTTCCAAAGGGTTAATTTCTTCTTTGTGCCTCTAATTTCTTTATGATATATGATATTATATCTATTCATTTCAGTTTATCTTTGTTTATGGTGTGAGGTGTCAGTCTAAACCTAATTTCTACCAGACTGCTTTCCAGTTTTCCCAGCCTTCTCCCCCCAAAATATGTTAGAAAATGAGATTCAAGAGTAATAATTAAGAATAGTCAAAGGTTTATAGACTAGTCAGAAGCATCATGTATATTTATATATAACACAGAAAATGACTAGTTCCCAACATGGAAATCATTAT